TCCTACTGTGTTCATCTAGGTCCTATTATGTGCGGGGCTCAGTGGGGGAAAGGGACTAGAAGGCAAAGTCCCCACTCCTATGCCTGGCCACCCAAGAGGACTCTGCCCTGGAACAAGCCTCCCCTGGGCACAAGGAGCACTGGGAGGAGCCGAGAGGAGAGGAAGGGCCCCCAGCAGGCTCAGAGCTGTCTGGAGAGGTGCCTGACTGCTGGTGTGCTTTCCTACACCTGCCACCCTCAAGTAGACATTTATTCGGCACCTACTGCATGCATGGGGACAGTGCAACAGTGTAAGTATGGCCTCCTCCACACTGGGTCTGGAGCCCTGGACAAACGCGTGATGCCTCTGACCTCAGGGTCCCATCTGGAAAATGAGCGCAATGAGAGAAGTCGCTGGAAGGTTGTCGCAAGGCCTCCCTGAGGTAAAGCAGCACGAGATCCCTATAGCCTCATGTAGCCGGATGCCTGGGTTCTAATCCTGCCCCACCACCAACTGGACGATCTCAGGCCTGCAATTTACCCTCTCTAGGTCTCAGTCTCCACATCTGGAAAAAGGGATGCTAACAGTGGGGACATCACAGGGCTGTGTGACGTTTTAAAGTGTTTATAGATTGTTAAACAGGATGTACACATGTTATATTGTTTTCTGTATACGGATTATGCTTTGCAATGTGAAGAGTGTGTGTGATGGTAGGGAAGGAACACTGCACGCAAACTGCCTTAGCACAGTCTGGCACATAGTGAGTGGCCAGGAAATGTGTTTTTTATTATCATCCTGTAGGTCAGTGAGAACCATGGGGAGTATTAGAGGGAGGGGGTCACCCTTAGTCAAGTTCTGTTTTAGGCATATTAGAAGGAAAGAGACAGGAGCCAGGATCACTAGTCCATGCACTACCTTTGTATGGGAGGGAAAGATGCTCCAGCTGGGTAACAGAGCTCCATACCAGGGCACATGACTTGTTGGAGTGAGCCAGGTACTCTCACAGGGTGAACAACCTGCTCAACTGTACTTGGCAACCCTGGCCAAGAAGAAAGGACAGGGTGATGGTTGATTAGCAGCTCCACTTCTGAATTTCTTGGCCTCCCTGGCTCAGCCCCCACAACCCCCTCCAAACAGCGGGCAGCTCAGAGACTAGAAGCCCACGCAGCAGATGGAAAGACTCCCCAACTGGCATGTGTGTGTGGGTGGGTGGAAGGGGGGGAGGGCGTAGCGATTTCCTGTGCCCCAATCCCAGCTTGCTCGCTCTCTGACCACATTTTTCCACCTCACTTTTTTCCCCCATAATGTGCTCACCCGTTTTAAGATCAAGATTGTTCTTTGTGAATGGGATGTAATTTGAGAGCCGGAGAGGCACGTCCCAGAGAGGTGGTACAGATGGGGAAGGTGCCCCTTCCATGTGAAAGGCAAGCCAGGCGGCCCCGCGGAGTCCCTGGTGGCCAGGGCAGCCAGTGAGACAGACAGGACCAGGTGGAGAAGGTCATGGCGCTGGCAAAGCCGGAACGGGAGAGGCCAGGTCTCCCCCTCCAGCTCCCCCACTGCACGGTGGCCCCTCCAGCTACATTCTCTAGGCTTTGTGCTGATCAAACTCCAGGGCAGGACCACCCACGGAGAGCCCGACCTCTGCCCAGGCGGGGGCATCTGGGGGCTGTGGCCTCTTCGACCAGGGTCTGGTGACTTCCAGAGGCCCCTCCTGCAGTCTCAGCCCCGACTCTGCACTAAGAAGAACTCACTCATTCATTTGTTCAAACACTATTAATTCCAGGCTTCCCACGTGCCGAGAACTGCACAGGACACTGGGTATCCCTATGAACAGGACAGCTGAGCCCCCTGTCCTCAGGGACTGCTGGGAAAAAGCAGCCAACACATGACTCTGAACACTACCGTGGACCGGGGTTTCTCTGCCTATGTTAAATTGTTCAATCCTTACACCAGCTCTAGAAAGATATTCTCACTGCCTACTGTACAGACGAGGAAATCAAGGTCCAGAGAGATTAAAGAGCTTCCATAAGAGCAGAGCCAGCAAGGTTGGACCAGGTCCTGTTGTCCTGCTGATGCCTGGCCTGCGTGCTTCACCACTGCCTTTCCAGCTACAGGCAGGCCGCAGGCTCCCTGGGCGACCTAGGGGGTCAGGCAGGACCTGCTCTGCAGGAAGGTCAGACTCCTGCCAGAGTTGCATCCTTCCCAAAGCCACTGTGAGAGGAGGATGAATCTGGGGACTCATGAAACTTCCCAAGGTTCCTGTCTTCATAAACTGAGGATAACTCTCACTGAAGGGTGAATGGGAGGATTAAGCAGAGTTCATCATAGGTAAAGTGCTCGGTACAGTTTCTCATATATACCAATGTTCAATAAATGTTGCACAGTAGACAACCTGCCCAACAGTACCTGGCAGTAGTCTCTCTATTCTTTTTCATGAAAAGGCTACACATTTAAACTGAGAGGAGCCAGCAAGGGCTGGCTTTGAAGGGCAAAAGGCTTTGGCTGGCGTTCAGACCTCCAGAGAGAAACAAAGAGGTGGCCATCTCAGATTTCCCTGCTCTTCCTCACATGTCTTTGTGGGCCACTTAACTGTGCTCAAAATGTACCGGCCCCTTCTCTGGACAGTCGAGGCCATAGAAATAACCTCCAGCAAAAAGACCTTGAAGAAGACGTTGGAGTCATTGGCTTTGAAGGCCTGGGAAGTTTCAAAGGCACGAATACTGTGTGTACTTTCCAGGACACAAGAGCCGAGAAAGCCGTGAGAGATTGAAAGCCCCCATTTCCCAGCTCTTTCCTCCGCCTTGTTTTTAGTATTAAGGTATCATTCACATATGAGAAAATCCTCCATTTTAAAGGGTACCATTCAGCAGTTTTTTAAAAAAGATTTTGTTTGCTAGAGAGGGTGTGCACATGTGGGGGGGAGGGGCGAGGTGGAGAGAGACTCTCTCAAGTGGGCTCTACACCGAGCGCCTGGCCCGACTCTGAGATCATAACCTGAGCGGAAATCTAGAGTCAGACGCCTGACCCACCGAGCGCCCCCAGCAGTCCGCGACGTAGTCACAGGGGTGCGCACCCATCACCGAGAGCATTTTCTTCACCCTCCTAAAGAAACCCCGTGTCCTTCAGGGTCACCCCTCTCTCCCTCCCCCGGCCCTGGCAAGCATTAATCTACTCTGTCTGATGTCCTTATTCTTGACATTTCACATAAATGGAATCACACCATACGTAGGTCTTTCAAAACTGGCTTCTTTCACCTAGTCGGGTGTTTTTAGGGCCCGGCCATCTGTGTCAGAGCTCTGTTCCTCGCGAGAGCTGGACAACATCCCACGGCGAGGTCAAGCCACACTCGCTTATCCGTTCACCCGCTGGTGGACACGTGGGCTGTTGGCACTTTCTGGCTATTGTGGACAGTGCTGCTGTGAACACTCGCAAACACATTTCTGTGGCCATTTTCATCTGTCTTGGACAGATAACTGGAAGGGTCATGCGGTTAGTGTGTGTTTAGCCTCTGGAGGAAGGGCCGTTTCCACGCCCGTGGGCAGTGCACGTGGGTTCTGGTCTCTCTGCAAACCCACCCCCCAGGTTATTGTCTGTCCGTCTGATTCCAACCACGACAGTGAGGGTGACTCCTCTCGGCTCTGAACTCCCTCCCTCCCTGCTCTTACGAATGTAGAATGTAGTCCTCACCCACCCAGAACTAACCCGTGGTGCTCCAGCTAGGGGGGCTCCCGCTAGCCTGAGATTCCAGGAAGTCGGGGAGAGCACCTGTCCTGTCCCCTGCGGTCCCCGGGGCCCAGCCCAGAGCAGCTGCTCCTGACAAAAATAGTGTCGAATGAATCCTGACTGCGTGCTGCTTTGATCTAAAGATTTTTTTTTTTTTTTATCAGTGAGACGTCTGAAAGCCACAGCGACGTTGGCATCATGTGGAAATTTCCAAGTCCTTGGCGAGCTCTGCTCTGACAACTTGCGGCTTCAGCCCGGCCCAGGCAGACCCCATCCTCACAGTGACCGTCCAGGAGGGCCTTGGTTTCGGGGTGGGGGTGATGGCCAGGCCCCAGCGCTGCAGTTTTGCTCCTGGATGGTGCCCTGGCCTGGCTGGGGCCCAGCCCCCGCGACTTGGCCTCGGAGGCGGTCATCTCAGCCAAATGTGGCGGGACATCAATTCATCGGGGCGGATGTGCTGAGGCCGCCCTGAGAGAGAGGAAACGCAAGCGCTCAGCACTTACTGTTTCAAGAAAGAAGTTCTGTCCAGCGACGCTGAGTCGTCCCCATGGTATCGGGGAGCCGGCAGGGAGGTCACTTTCGTTCCCTCTGACAGAGGCGGCTTGGACGGTGGCCGCGGGCTTCAGTGGAACCTGAAGTCAGCAGAGTTGCTCTTGGGTGCCTTCCCACTTTACTGGCTCACATCCACTGTGCTCCCAGCTCCACCAGGAAGCTTCTACCCAAGGCCCTGCTCATCCCCCTGCTCAGGGACACTTAGGAGCCTTTAATCTGCGCCAGACGATGTCAGACTGCGGTGGTGGTTTTAACCCTCCCACAAGGAAGGCAGTTGTCTTCCTATTCCCATTCTACAGGTGAGGACACTGAGGCCTGGAGAGGTCAGAACTGGTCCACAGTCGCCCGACTGGGAGGCAGAAGAGCTAGAATTCGAACCAAGCACTTTGGTTGTGGCAGTCCCCAAAAGGTGGGCTGGGGGTCAGTGAGGAACAGGCTGAAGTTACCAGGAGCTCAAAACAGAGGCACGAAGTAAGGACCCCACATGCTTAGAACACATCAGCAGGAAGGGACAGCTGTCTTCTGAGCTCATAGCTGTGTGTGTGTGTTACAGAATCCTTACTTGAATAAAATGCTGTGATAGGAAGACCTCCATTTGGGGAACTTTTAAAAAAATATCCTGAGTTGGCCCAAGAGTGAGCTGTTGCGTCTGCGCGGGCTTCCCCCACATTATTATTCTGCATTTTCCTGACTGGTGGCATCAAGACACAGTGGGGAGGGGAGTCTCGGGCTTTGGTGCTGGCTCAGTCGTCTTCTTCTCAGGCACAGAACAGACCATCCCCAGCTCAATTTCCTCATTTGGAGAACAGGCACCAATGTGCCACATCATCGTCCCACACAGACGGATCCCTGCCACCGGGTGGGGTTCCCCCTCCCCCGCACAGACCTCTGAGGCTGACCTGTGTCCCAGGTGGTCCTGCCCCCCCACCTTCTGGAGGCCCTGGGCTGGTGGGCCCTGGAACAGGCCAGGCGGTGAGCGAGAGACTGAGATACCCCAGATGGCCGTCCCCAGTACGGCTCTAAACGCCGTACGTTAGTGATTCGTTCTTTCCTTCAATTTTGGGGACCAACATAGGGTTGCCAACTTTGTGTTTTGCCAAATGAGGACATTTTTCAAAATACCACTTCCAGCCACTGCCACTTTGCACCGAAGAGGAGACACATGACCCTGGCCAAAGCAAAGGAGATCAGCAGTTCGGGATTTTTTTTTTAAACTGGGATCAGCCGCACTTGGTGAGTAGATTGTCGCGTTTTCCATTTTCCATGATCTTCCCCATTTGTTTGCTTTGGACTATGGAAATGTCACCCAGGCCTGCTTTGGCATGTGGCCAGCCATGGGGGCCACAGGCGCCCTCCCCAATCGGTGGTGGTATTCTACCAGCAGCTGTCGTGGAGATGTGGCTGGAGAAAACTTGGGAGCACTCGGCACTGGATCGCCACTGGAGGGGGGCAGGGGGACGCCCTGGTGATTCCCTCCCACTGAGGGAAAGGGTCCCGAACTCATGGGACACAGGCTCCTGGAGACCTTCCCCCATCCTAGAGGGGCCCAGAGCGCCCAGCAAGGCTGTTGGGCTGGCTTTTGCACTGTTAGAAACCTGACCTTTCCCAAACCTCTATGGTGGGTTGACAGACTGCGGCATCCTGTTTTCCATTGATCTATATACTCGAAATCTTTCTTAACAAAAAGGTGGAAAATAACAAAAGTCACGCCAATGCAGTTTGTGCAGAACCCGGAAATGCCTATGATATGCAAAGAGTAGGAGACTGTAGTCACCGAAGAGATGGTAAAGAAATGTTTCCACATGGTACTGATGGATGCCTCTGGATGGGGGAGTATGGACTGTTCTCTCTCTACCTATGTTTCTGGATCTTCTATAATTAGGGGGAAATGCTTTGTAAAAAAATATGAGTAAGCTGTGTCTTGGGGTTTCCTGCTCTGCATCACCCTTCCCTCTCTTCCCTGGCAGGGAGCTAACTGCTCCTACATGCTCCCTTTGCCTGGGCGGGTAAGGCTGTCCAGTTCTACAGAAATGTCTGTGCGTCCAGAAGTCCAGCAGAAGGAAGGAAGGAGAGGAAATGGAGCCCAGCTCTCAGGAGCCTAGCGTTCCAGGATGGTGCTGAGCTAGGAGATGAGGGCTTTCTGCCCATCGGAAGCTGTTTGGGGGTCAGAGTATGGGGGTCTGTGGGATGTGGGCAGATCTCCAGGGTAGCAAAGATGGGAGGACACATGGTCCCACCCTCATACAGATCAGAACATGAGATTCAGAGAGGGAAAGTGACCTGTCCAGGTCACACAGCATGGTCTCCCCAGGGCAAGTTGACCACTCCTGAGCCCTCCCCTCCAGGGCCCTTCCCCTACAGCATTCCGGACTTTTCTATCTGGTGGGCCCAGATAGCAGCAACTCCAACCCTTTCCCGACTTGAGCATCATCAGGTTTTGAAATCATCCCCAGGTTTTCCAAGGGAAACATATTTTGGGTTTTCTTTCTTTTCTTCTGCTCATTTGAAGAAATCTGAGAGTCCCTTCTAATTGTTTGGTCAAGACCGCAGACAGGCAGTGAGGCATGCCACAAATATGATCTTGAGCCCAGGGAACCCACTGGCCTGGAGAAAGACAGGACATCAGGCCTGTCACTGGTGCTTGGTCAGCACATGAGCTCTGAGTTCTAGAGAGTACAGGGTGTCTGCCAACTTCCCCAGATCCCTGACTTTGGGTTCCCATTCAGAAAGACCAACGGAGTCTCCATCAAGCTTCCTGAAGCTGGGGCTTTTGTGGATGTGCGTGCCAATGGAATCCATGGGGAGTTGGTAGATGTGGGCCCTGCCAAAAGTGGGGACCTACAGCCTAGACTATATTCCCTAGCCTCCTGTGCAGCTAGGTGTGGTTATGACTTGGTTCTGGCCAATGGGATATGAACACAAACTGATATGTACAACTTAAATAAAGAAAGCGGCATGGTCTTCTTTGACCCTCTCTTCTTTCTTACTAGATAGACGGTGGATGTGATGGCTGGAGTTCCAGCAGCCATTTTGGACCATGAGTCAACTCTAGGAATAGAATCCAACAGAAGAATCAGATGCAAGAAATCTAGATTCTGACATCCTGACATCACACAAGTGAGAAATAAATGTCCATGTTCCTAAAGCTATGATTATTTGGGGTTTCCTTTTACTTGTGGCAATACTATTTCTAAATGACATACCATTTTTTGGTTGGGGGGTGGAACTGCAGTCAAGTGCACGGGGGCTGAAGGGGACCTACTCTGTGTGAGAGGCTGGGATGAGACTCTGAGATGAGACTGATAATTATTATGCATAATAGTAATTGTGGCATGTATCAATGTGCAAATGTAAACTATTTAGCTTAGTGCCTGGCCCAGGGTAAGAGCCCCCCAAATTTTAGCAACTGTATTGTCATTACAGGTGACTAAACCCGTATCTTGGTACATGAGACCCAAAGGGTTGTCTGCAGTCAGAGGGAAGAGCCCAGGAGCGGGAGGCCTTTGAACATGGCCTTAAAGATGGGAAGAGTAAGTGACATAATCAGGCATGGTGACAAAGAGCTTCATGGATATTATTTCACATGATGCCCTGGGAACCCAGTAGAACAGACACATCCCATCCTTATTATACTGGGCAGGGAACTGAGGCTCAGAGAGAGTGAGTACCGCCCCACAGCACTCAGCAGGGCTGGATTTGGACTTGGGCACTCTGGCTCCACAGTCCTCCTCCTGCGGCTCTGTGGGCTGAGGATCAGGGTTCAGGCAACGGGAAGAACAGGAGCAAAGTGCCAGGGGTCCGATCTGGAGCTTAGGGCCCACGTCCAGGAGTGGGGAGCTTGTTAAAGCTCATGAGGGCAGTGGGGGCTCCACAATCAGCGCCTCCTGGACAGGTGCCCCCACCAGTTCTCTGGCCCTTCAGGGTTTCTCTGTGTTCTCTGTGGCTAGACCCAGAGAAGGGATAGATGACCAAGCTTGGAATTTAGAGGGGGTTTCCTGTGGCTGTGGTAGCAAATGGCCACAAACTTGGGGCTTAATACAACACATACTTATTTTCTCATGTCCTGGAGGTCAGGAGTCAGAGCAGGAGGCAGAGTCTGGATGAGAGCCCCACCCGCACCCCTTCCAGAGACTGCCCAGCGCACGGAACTGAGACACTCTGCCCCATTCCTTATTGCTCTTTGCCAATTCAAGGCCCGGCACCCAGGGAACAATACTCTGGCATTGGCTTCTCTAATGCCCCTTCCAGCCATACCCATCCTGGGCGGCCCTCATGTCCCCCAGTGCCTCCCCATTTGGGATGGAGCCATTTCCCAGGGGATCTGGTCCATCCCACTGCCTTCACCAACCAGGACCCAGAGAGGGGCCCCACCTAACCCCATCCCCCCTGCCTCTTAGCACGACCCCCAAGATCCATGCACACATCCCCCAAACCAGACTCAGAATCGGCAGAAATGCTGGGGCTTGGCAGGGTCACAAAACCACTGCCAATTGTGGGGTCTGCAGAGGCCCCAAATGAACCCCCCCCCCGAGTCTGTGCATTAGCCTGCTGGCTTTGCACAGTCTGTGAAATGTCCGCACAGTGTAATGTGGCTGCTGGAAAAAAACAACTAATTCAATCTTTGGCTGCACTGACAATGTCTGAGGCTTGGATCCTGGGAGGAAAGAGCTCCCTGAGCCAGTGAGGTTGGACTCCATGTGGGGACGGGGCCTCCGCGGGCCCTGATAGGCCCTCTGCCCACCTGGACCTGCCACTTCCGTCCTGCCCTGGGTTACTATACCCAGACACCGAGAGTCCTTCCCAGTATCACCCCAAAGTGACACGATGAGGGCGGACGATTATTATCCCTACTTCACCGAGGCTCAGGGAGGAGTCCTGGCCTGTCCTGGGTCCCAGCCAGGAGCCAAGACTTGGCCCCCTGGACAGAAAGTTCCATGAGGCAAGGACCTGTGTGCTCGTGTAGGGCTGTGTCCCTACCAGGAGCCCAGAGCCGGAGCAGAGGGGACCATCAGCAGCACCTGATCCCAGACAGAGGAGCGACTGAGCCCAGACCAAGGACCAGCTCTGAGCACTCCTCCCAAGTGTACAACGCAATGTTTCAGGAAACATCAGTGACCCCAAATGGAGCAATGTTCTCTAAAACAACTGGCCCAGAGTATACACACACGTCAGGATCAGGCCAGCTAGAGACAGCAGGTGAGCCCGAAAACGATGTTTGCTTCTTGACCAAAATGACATTATTAGGACAACAAATGTGAATTCTGAACAAAGTCGGTCAATGAGATAATAGGAAAAAAAAACATGTTAGTTTCCTGATTTCGCCATTTATACTGTGGCTGCACGAGGCCCGTCCTGCTCTTAGGAAACACCCGTGAAGTGTCTGGGTAAAGGGCCATCGGGTCTGCAGCTGGCTCTCGAGTAGATCAGAGAACACCACCCACACACAGAAAGAGAAAGAGAATGGTAAGACAAAGTAAAATCAGTAAAATGTTCCCAACTGGGGAATTTGGGTGAAAGCGTTCTGCATGATTTCTGTACAACTGAAATGATTTCAAAATGAAAAGTTACAAAATAGAAAAGTCAGTATCCACAAGGTTGATGAGCAGTTCCCAATTTAAGGAGACCAGATAGACTCAGGCAGGAACTGCAACTCCTCTTGAATTAGCAGGAAAGCCAGCACTCAGGGACACGCATGGGACGGTGGGGGACATGGGAATTTTGAGAGTGGGTATTGCGTTCGGGTTAATTTTCTGGGTGTGACAGCCCCATGAGGGCTCGTAGGAGAATGTCCTTGCTCTTTGTAGGGTCAGGGCAGAAGCCTGCAGACACTGGGGTCTGGGCAGAGGGTCAGGATGTCTGCATCCCTTGTAGAGTTCGGCAGAAATATGTTTATAGGGAAGAGAGACTGAGCCCACGGGCTCTACACAGCCCCCCCCTGCCCCGCCCCGTTCCAGCGGCTGTGTTCAATTTTTCTCAAGGATTCAGAGCAGCCCGACCCTGAGAAGGGGGGTGGGGTGGAGAAGAAGCGGGAGGTGGCAGGAGGGGGCACCTGCCACCCTGCAGCTCCCCGTCCCCCAGCTATTCCCTCTCCGGCCGCAAGAGGTCTCTATGTGGCCCTATGGGAAGGTGGTTTTCATTTTTCGAAGTTCCTTTAAGTTTCTAAGACATGAACTAAAACGTCGCCCTTTCTCGCTGACAACCACCCCCCCAAACTGCGCTTTCTGCCATCAGTGTTAAGGGGGCTTCTTCTGGGCGGTGCTCCCAGTGCTGGGTTTCCAGGTCCCCCACCACACTGTCCTGTGCCCCAGAGGCCCTCATAAGGGGGTCTCTGCTGCCCTCCTGTGGCCATCACCGACTACACAGACGCCCCCCCGCCGGAGGGCAGAAGCCTGCAGACCTTTGTAGCTTCTCCTCGCCCTACAAGAGCTGGGGTCTCCAGAGGGACAGAACCAGCCCCTCAAAAAAATGAGGGACTTGTTTTAAGGAGTTGGCTCTTGGGATTGTGGGAGCTGGAAAGGTCAAAATCCATTGAGCAGGCTGTTGGCCTGGATGCCACGGGCCAGGGCCATGGCCTTGGATATAGTGACAATGAGGAAAGACAAGAGGGAGTGAAGGGAACCGAGCGAGGAAAGGCCGCTTGTTTGAAAGTTCCCCGAGCAGGGGGGGGGAGTAGAAGAGAGGAGGGTTGGGGGAGTCAGCTGGGGGGCATTTCTCCAGGAGGAGGAGAGGCTTGCTGGTGTTGAAGCTGGCAGAAAGAAGTGTAGAGGAACAGGGACACAGAGCAGCATGCTTGTTTGACCAGGGACCAGATCCAGAACCCAGGGCAAAAGTGCCACCTTCATTGTGGGCGCCTCTTAACATGGACAAGACACTCCGCCAGGCTTGCTCAGGACGGAATTCATTGACCAAAGGGATCATCAAGGTATAGGGAACCCGTGTGAAGTCAGAAGACCTGGAGAAAACAGGTAGGCCACAGCCCCCATGGGGAGAGAGGCTGGCCATGTGGGAACACAGCAGCGCTGCAGGGAGGGAAGGGACCTGCAAGGGTCCTGGGGCCACCATACCAAAACAAGTATTAATATGACAGAGGTTTATGCTACAGTCTGGAAGCCAGAGGTCCAAAATCAAGGTGGGGGCAGGGCTGAGCTCCCTCTGAGGGCTCCAGGGGAGGATCCTTCGTGCCTCTTCCAGCTCCGGGTGTTGCTGGCCATCCTTGACCAGTGGCCATGTCCCTCCAGTCTCAGCCCCTGTGTCAGACAGCCGTCTCCCTGGGTTTCTTCTTCCTCTTCTTATAAGGACACCAATTGTTGGACTAGAGCTCGTCCCACTCCAGTATGACTCATCGCAGCTGGTTCTATCTGCAAAGACCCTCTTTCCAAATAAGCTCATTTCCGGAGGTTCCAGGGGGACGTTCTGGGAGAGACGCTATTCAATTCAGCACAGCCCCAAGAGTGAAGGGGGCCAAGAACCTGAGAGGGACGGGACCTGGTGCGCAGAGTGGGGGGCACAGGAGCCCCTGCCCTGCCCAGCATCCTGCAGGGGTGAGCCTAAGGGCACATAGGGCAGAGCGAAATGTAGGGAGCGGGCAGGCAGCAGCACAGGGCGGTGGGACACCCAGGACCCGCTGCGGGGGAGCCATCACCATGCTGGGCCGACGTGCACAGAACCGCTGTGGAAGTCTGGCCTTGCCCTGTCCCTTTACCATCACACCAGAGACTTCTTTCTGCTAACGAGGACCAGGCAACAAGGTACTGTCACGATCCCGTTTTATAGGGGAGGTGACTTGCTCAAGGTCCCATAGTAGGGCTGGGTTCTGGGATTTAAACCTGTGTTTAGTGGACTCTTAAGTCCTTGCTTTTATCTGTGCTTAAGGAAAAAAAAGAAAGAAAAAAGCTCTCCACTCTGGAAACCTGCCGACGCACCAGGAGGAACAGACGCAGCGAGGGAACCCCGTGACAGCAGCAGCTCGGCGTGTTTGGACCACACCTGCCCCTCCGCCCGCCCTATCCCTTACAGCGTCAACACCTTTGTCCTTCTCTAGGTGAAACGTGCACGCGGTACACGGCTTCCACTTAGTAAAACATGCACCTTAATACAGCTTCATCATGTGGTCTGGGAATTCCTTTCGGGTTCTCTCTACTTTCTTACTTTTCTAACAATGAGCAAGAACTGTTTTTATAAATAAGGGAGAGAATAACAAGACGATGACTGAAATGTTAAAAAAGTCCCTTTGGGCTGGGGTCCCTGTCCCCTCCATTCAGCTACAAGGCTCCAGGACCTCCCAGATGGACTCTGTGCTTTCCCCTACAGCCGCTCCCAGGTAACCAGGTATCCTAGGACCCTGCCGGCTGCTCCCAGAATTTGGGGGAAGGCTGGGCGGCAGCCCCTCATGGCTGAGCCCCAGGCAAGCTGCCCTAAATCCGATCTGTGCTAGAGAACCCCACACTGCCTGGCTCTGCAGGACTTCCAACTTCAAACGAAGGATATGGGGGCTCTCTGGGACCCCTCCCCCCAGCCAGTGCGAGGCTGGCAAGGCTGGCCTGGGGAGAGGTTGCCAGGCAACCAGCTGGGGCTCCTCCCAGGGTGGCTGTGGGTGGCCATGTTGCCTGGCAACCAGGTGCCAGTGTCCCTGGAGCCCAGACTGCACAGCTGCGCCCAGCCCCGCCCGCTCCTCCCTGGCTTGTGGGACCCCTGGGGCCCTGGCCTCATTCCCCTCGCCTAGGACAGCTGGAGCCTCCGGTCACAATGAGCATTGTTCTCTCCAGGTGAGTGGCCCTGCACTGGCCTGGGCTGGGAGGGGAGGGGAAGCAGGGTTTGGGGGGTCTGATGCACCAAGAGAGATGGGGCAGCCAGGCCTGCTGGGGCCGGGTGGCAGTAAGGGTGCCCTCCCTCCCACAGCACCCCACCTCGAGGTCAAGGGAAGCCCAGGAAACCTTCCAGAATCTGGCCTCTGCTTCTCTAGCATTTATCACCCACAGCTCTGGGGTAGCCAAGTTCACAGGATCCATTCCCTCTTTCCCTCATTTGGCTCCACCTGGGAAACCCCTCTTGGTGCCTCCAAGGCCCCCGACCCCGCGCCCCTGTGGTATCGTCCCTGACGGCACTGCCTCTGGCCAGACCCTGTCAATGTGGCGGTGCAGCCTGCCTGCCCCTCGCCTGTATGTCCTGGTGCCGGGCTCCTCTGAGCATCGCCAACTCGAGGGTCTCTCCCAACCACTCTACGTGCTCTTTAAAAATGCAGCCCCTGGTAATAATAGGGAAACCACGTGCGCCCTGAGGGGAGGGCATATGGGACCTCTCTGGACTTTCCACTTCATGTGTTTCTGTCAACCTAAAACTGGCCCCCTAAAAAAGTTTAAGTTTTCTTTTAAATTTTCAGGCTTTGGAGAAGGGAGAGAATTTCAAAGCTCAGCAGTGGGGGAAGGGAGCAGAATCAGGAGTTTGGAGGGAAGGGGCCCTGGCAGCTAGAGGTGGTTGGAAGAATGACTCCATCGGGAAGATCAAAGCCCCCGGAGGGTCCCAGGGAGGTTCAGGCTGGATTTGGAGTCAAAGCAGCCTTGGCATTCCTGTCAGCAGTCTGAGCAGCCTCTCTCTCCACCCGGCTGGTCTCCCACATCTGCCTGGACAGAACCATGTGCATGACTGGGGGAGGGGACCAGACACCTGCCAGGGGGGTGCTCGACAGCTAGATGGGGAGTTTCGCAGGGGAGACCCTCGTGTCCCCGTCCCGACCTGCCAGAACTGCCTCTCAGGCCCGTCCTCCGCAGGGACAGCCGGGTGAGGGCGATGGAGAACACTGTGACCAATGCCGAGAAGTACTTTGGCCAGTTCTGCTCCTTGCTGGCCGCCTACACCCGCAAGACGGCTCGGCTGCGGGACAAGGCTGACCAGCTCGTCAGACAGCTCACCGACTTCGCCAACACTGAGCACCCAGAGATGCGGGCCACCATGAGGAACTTCGCCGAGGACCTGGCCAAGGTGCAGGATTACCGGCAGGCCGAGGTAGGCGGGGTGGCCGGGGAGGACCCCAGTCCCCTGGCGGGGGTCGGGCCTGATGGGGGGAGCTGCACCGCCGGGGCCCCAGCTCAAGGACCTGCCTCTGCCAAAGGCATCCCCGAAGGGTGGACACTCACACCGCTCTCTCCCTGGGGGTCACGCCACCCTTTTTGGGATCAAGAGCCTGGAGGCTTTGTGGCAGTTGGAGAAGACCAGACAAGGCAGGGGGCCCCGGGAAGCAAGGCCTGAGGGCTGCAGCTGCCGGCTCCGTGAGTCCCAGGCAGGAGGCACATTCCAGGGCCCAGGACCCTGGCGGGTGAGAGGGCACGGAGGCAGCAGCGTGTTAGGGGGAGGATTAAAAATACACATCACCTGCCAGCCCAGGAAAGCCTTGTGTGACTGCAGACAAGATCCAACCGTTTTCTCTTCTGAAGAAGCACCAAACAGGACACACTGCAGGCCACGCGTCGGGGCCTGCAGGTAGAACCCTCGCTCCCCAGCACAGCGGGACAGAAACCAGGACAGGGGACCAGACGGCACCGTTGGTTCCACAGGACCTCCGTACTTCACCGGCAGCTGGGTGGCACCTGTGCCACAGATCACCTCTCTCCCAAGGAAGAGTAAAACTTCTGTCTCTGTCACCAGCAGGTCGGCAGAGCTTGGAGCCAGGCCCCAGAGCAAACTCCCCGGGGAGACACATCTTCTTTGATGTTGACGTTTCAAAGAGATGCCTGCCATTCCCAGCTTGTAAACCATCAAGAATCTTATTTAGCTTTCAAAAAGGTTTACATAAGTCCCAAAGGGACAGAGAAAGGGATTTACAGTTGTAGGTTTTCTAAAAGAAAATGCTGTAAGGAAAGCAAGGGGAGAAGTCCCTTTTCCTTTTGACTCCCGGGAAATTTATTATTATTTAAGATTTGTGTTTTACTCCAGCAGGGTCATAAGCCTTGACAAGAAAGAGGAAGGGGCTTGGTGGGGATTCCAGATCCCCCAGCCTATCCGCATGCCCAGATTTCTGGGGATCCCCCTGCCACTGGTGCTCAAGGCACCAGCCTCACCTGTGAACTGAGAAATGCAGAATCTTGGGCCACAATGAGGACGTGCTGATTCAGGACCCCTGGGGTGGTGGCCGGCAATCAGGGTCTTAAGGAGCCCTAGGGAAAGGGATGGGGGGCTCCAAGGTCTGGCATTTAGGCATTGACTCAGGTGTGAGGCATCCCCCTCACAGAGGCTGCTCTGCCCTCGGGGGCCACACACAGCTCAGGAAGCTCTGAATCCGGGCTCTTTCATGTTCCAAGTGAGTCTGTCTAGTCCCCTCAGCCAAGTCGTAAGGCAGGCTGGACAACTGGGATCACAGTGGCTCCCAGTATACCCATTTCACAGGTGAGGAAATGAGGCTCGTGAGACGAAAGGTATTACCCGAGCTTTCAGGAGGCAGAGCCCTGAGCGCAGGCGGGTGCTCACAACCCGAAGGGGCAAGGCAGGGTGTGTCTCAGGCTTCCAGAACCCCCCACAGGCTCCTGCCATAGAGCACTCTCTAAATGCAGGCTGCAGGCCCCCAGGGTCCACGCACCTCCGGGGTCCTGTCTGCTCTGACTCTCTGCGTGTCCATGCTCCCCCAGGTCGAGAGGCTGGAGACCAAGGTCATCTGCCCCCTGAAGCTCTATGGGGCACACATCAAGCAGACACGGGTAAGCGGGGCCTGCCCGGCAGGGTCTGGCCTGCCTGGACATCCAGGAAACAGCTCTCCTCTTCCCTTTAGGCCGAGATCAAGAAATTCAAACAAGTCCAGAAGAACGAGATGAAACAACTGGAAAAGCTGGAGAAACTGAGGCAGAAGTCGCCTTTGGATCGGCAAATGATCGTATCCTTCCCTGGGGGTCGGGCCTGAGGCTGCTGGGCCAGGGTGGCCATTGCTCACCGGGGTCCTCCGGGTCGGGGCTGCTGGTTGATGTGGCTCCTTGACAGGACCCGTCTCAGTCCCAGGTGAGTGCCCCAGGTCTGAGTGGGAAGGCGGGATCTCATGCAAGGGACGAATGACCTCACAACACTGCCAGGCGAGCTTGTGCCTGGCTGCTCGGGATGCAGGTCAGAGGTGCAGGGCAAGCAGTGGGCCGGGGGTCCGGAGACCTGGGCTCTGTCCCCTCGTTCGCACTGTTCAGTAAGCCGGGAAGTCACCCCCTCTGTGCCCCCACCTCCTCATCAGAGCTGCTTACTGAATGCTCCCCGGATGTGGGCACCTCTGGCCTCATGCCCATTGTCTAGATGAGGAAACCGAGACCAAGAAAGGGGACCGGCTCAAGGTCACACAACGGAGGCCGGGGTGAACTCAGAACTCCATTCTGAGGGTATCTGACTCTAAAATCCAGGTTCTTTGTGTGCCTGGCCAGGAGCTGGGTCAGGTGAATTACTTAATTACCTAAAAACATTCCACAGGCAGGAATTATTACTGACAGCGGAGCACCTATTAAAACAGTTCAGCAGGTGCCCGCTGTTTAATTCCTACACCCCTGAGAAGCACCTGTTATTACTGCCCCCTGCTTACAAGCAAAGGAACGGAGGCTCAGAGAGGTTTAGTGACTTGCCCAGGGTCACCCAGCTAGGAAGCAGGTCTGTCCAAGCAACGCCTGGCCCTTTCACCAGGGTCCTACTTGGCCTTTCCTTCGATGACCAAATTGGCAAGAGATGTCACGAGGCAGGAGAGACGACTCAAGGGAAGAATGGAAAATGACCCAGAGTAGTGTCTAAAGGCAGGAACCACCCCATGACCCTTCTGCCTCTGGAGCCAGGCGGAGACCGGTGTGCAGAGGGCCTCAGTGGATGCCAGCCGCATCACCCACCAGCTGGAGGAGGTGATCGACACCTTCCAGAAGCAGAAGCTGAAGGACCTGCAGGTAGTGGGCTCGGCCCTGCGTTAGTATTCTGGCCTCACGTCGGAGCGTCTGCATACACGCGCGTGTGTGTTCAACTGCATATGTGTGTATGAACCTGTATACATCTGTGTGAGCATGCAAGCACGTGTGTCCATGGCGTGTGTGTGAGCACATGTGTGTGTACAGCTGTTTGCCCAGACGGCTTGGAGCCGGGGCTCCCAGGACAGTTTATCTTGGCCTAATCCTGGCTGCAGGGAGAAGGCCCTTCCTCTGAGCACCCAAACCCAGCTCCCCACCAGGAGAATTTGGCAGCCATTATCCCCACAACCCCCTCCAAGCCCACTCAAGGACCCACAGCCTTTGCTCTTCCTCCTCCTTTCTTTGTCCTTCCCCTGAGCAAGCCATGGTTCAGCACAGCAGGGTGGCAGAGGGGTTGCCTCCTTCCCCATCCCTGCAGTGCAACCCAGGCTCCTGGGCCCAGAGCCCCAGCTGGTCACAGAGACCCCTGCACCCATTTGAGAATTGCAGCCCCAGGGATCTCACCAAAGGCAGCTGCAGTCTGTCACTCCTGGGCTAAATGCCCTCCTATGACTTCCCTTACTCGAGGGATAAAGGTAGAAATCCTCCCCAAGTCTCCGGAAGCCCCAGCCCAGCCTTATCTGGGACACATCAATCCAAGCTCAAGTGTACTAAACCCCAACACACCTCTGTGCCTTTGCACAGGCTGTGCCCTCTGCTAGGAAGGCTTTGGCCACACTCTGCATCAAGTTAACACCTCATCTTCAGGGAAACTCACCTGGACCCCCAGGCCAGTCCAGCCCTGATGTTAACTCATGGCTCTGCTCCCGCTGGGGACAGCAATCTCAGGGGGATGGGTTAATTGTATCTTTAATTCACTCATTAATCAAGCAAACGTTGAATACACACCTACAGTGTGCCAGGCACCGTGCCAGAAAGCAAGGCCCCTGTCCTCATGGACGGACACCTTGGGGAAGAACCATGACACATGCTAATCATTACGGAGTGAAGGGGGGCTGCACCTTGCTGTTCCAAGCCTGCCCCCCCGGTACTGCATCTGTGCCATGGGGCACACACATGTGGGGCATGATGTGGCACCTGCCTCCTTGTCCCCTGCTGGGTCCCCGCACTGGGTCCAGGGCCTGGCACTTTGAGTACTCAGTCAGTATTTGGGAAACGAATGCACAAGGACAGAACCCGGGGTGATGAGTGTTCTGCCATCCCTGCTGCAGGCGGGACCTAAACTACCAGCGGGCCATTATTAAGCACTTGATGTTTATGTGGCCTGAAAGCAGGGCTCTGTGGGGCGCCAGCAAGAGTTTGTTTGGGAGGAGAGTCGAGATTCTAGATTCGCCTTCCGCAGTTAGGGGCCAGCGGACGCATGCAGTGTAAAACAGGCATCCTCTAAACTTGGGGGACTAAGTTTGTAAGGGGTGCTTATCCAAGCCCCGAGAGAGCCCTCCCAGTTCTGAGAGCGCAGACACTCAGAACTGGAGATAATGACGGTCACCGCATCAGGTCTAGGTCCCACGTCTAATAAAATGATCATAGTCACAAAGCGCTCGGGCCTGTGAAAGCACCTAAGGATGCTTTTGCACAGGGGTTCGCAGAGCTGCGCGGGCAGCAGGAATCCCCTGGAGGGCTGAAAACGCAGATCCCCCCACAACGGGCCCACCGCGGAGTCCATTCTGTGGGGCTGCGTGGGGCTATGTCCTGCCAGGGCCCAGAGCCAAGCAGGAGCCTCTGAGAAGGCCTGGCATGCGGGAGGGGCCCTCGCTGGGGCCGGCCGTGCTGGAGGGGCTCCGTCAGAGCTCGCTGAGCTGAGCAGAACCGTGTGATCGAGAGGAGCCCGTATTACATTTGGATGAGCTGGCCTGTCCGGTGGTGGGTGAGGCGCCTCCGGCAACATCCACTCCTAGCCCACGGGTGACAGAGGCCAGAGGTATCATAGCTGTCCCCTTACAAATACCGTCCCTCAGCGTGAGAGAAGCAAAGGCTGTGCAGAGGAGCCCAGGTGAGAGAGCAGAGCCACGGATGCCCCCCAGGAAGCCTTCACCAGGAAACAAGCCCTCTGCGTTTCCAGAACAATTCCCGTGCAAGGCGGCTTCTGAATGGGAATGTATAGTCTGTTCAAACAAAATAAATTAAAAGGAACACGGGCCTAGGACCTGTCCCCATGAGAACAACTAACAGCCCCCACCCCTATTTGTCCACATCCACGATGATCCCAGGACTCCCCTTATGACAGGGCTGCTTATGTGATTCGGGCTTCTCTCCCCACAGAAAATTTTTTCAGACTTTGTCACCATCGAGATGGTCTTCCACACCAAAGCGGTAGAGGTGTATTCCAGTGCCTTCCAGATCCTGGAGAGCTACGACCTGGAGAGAGATATGGAGGTATACCCCGCAAGCACCCCACTTTCTACTTGACGGTGTGGGGCTCAATTTGATTTTAGGTATCTTGACAGAAACCAATTTTATTGGCAACATTTTGCCATGGTGATAATTTTGAAGACTCATTCTGATAAATTCTTTTAAATACCTGCCCCTGGGTGCCACAACTAGAGGTGGGCTGGTTTTTCCCAAGTCTGTCATTCAGCAATCAAGTTGGAATCAAGTTCAGGAATCAAACCTCACTTGGGTGTTTAAAAACAAGCAGAGAAGTTGACAGTGATAAAGAGCATCCCAGGCCAATGATGGCTACACTCTGATGGGGACGGACTGCTTATCATCCCACCCGATCTGATGAGTACCTAGCACGCGCTCATTTAGCTATGACCGATCGCGCCAGTCCCAGAGCCCTCAAACAGCTGTCGCTCGCTGGAATTCTCTTTCGTGGTTCCAGGGCTGGTGGGCTCAGCTGGGTGCTCTTACGCTGGTCTTTCCTGGGTTTCTAGCCAGTCGGTGGCTGGGGCTAGAGTCACGTTGAAGGCTCCCTCTCCCGTATCTGGTAGATGATGGCTGTCACCTGCGTACAGGACAGGCCTCTAGGTTTGCAGTGTTCAGGGCAAAATGAAAATGTGGGCCTCTCGTTCAGTGATTATTAAGAACTTCAAGAGACTGACAGCAGGGTATTAGACCAAACACAGGGCACATCCAAGCTCGGGGTCCTGGGCCACTTACTCCAGGAGCCACACATCCCATGGCCCCACCTGCCTGGGTGCACAGGGGTCCACAGGGCTCCACAGCCCAAATGCCTGCCTCCCTGAGGCCGCTCCGGCTGGCGTGGGCTTCCTCACAGCCTGACGGCTGGTCTAAAGCAAGCATCCTGGGCCGCCGGGATGGCTCAGTGGGTTTAGTGTCTGACCCCTGGTTTCTGCTCAGGTCACCTTCTTCCCTCCCCTCCCTCTGCCACTCCCCTCCCCTGGTCCTTCCTTCGTTTCCTGATTGGAAACAGCCCATCCCGGTCTCTCCTGGGCAGGATTTTAGAACCAAGATACATGGGGTTTACGGACACTATGATGCTCGGCCATTCAAGGATACCACGCCCTCCCCAGCTGTCCCGTGGGCTCTCGCTGGCCAGGTGAGCACTGAGGGTGGGAGAGTGAATCCTGTGACGGGGAGAGGCCATCTGAGGACAGGGATTCGCACGAGGTCCTGAGGAGGAGTCACTGCTTCGGGAGTGTGGAGACCAGCCCCAGGGTCTGACCTGGACGGGCTCGGAGATGGAATCAGTAACATACATCACCAGGCAGAGCAGCCACCATGTGTCCTGAGCGCCCCCTAGAGGCAGCCTGAAGTGTGTCCACTTGAGAAGCAAGGGCTCTAGCCAGGTCACTCCTGTTTCCCAACCCCTGGGGCCCACAGGTTTCAGAAGTCTGAATTTCTCAGATTTTCAGAGAGTCATACGGTACATATACTCCACGTTCTCCTACAAGCTCAGCAAAGCACATTTCTATTTCCGCAGGAAGACCTCTGAGTTCTCAACCAAGTAAGACAGAGACTCTAAGCGGCCTCATGCCAGTCAGGGGAGGTTCAGTCACTCAGTGAGCTGGGGGGCCAGGGGAGCCTCGCCCCACAGTGGAGGGGGCAGGCTTCCCGAATAATTCTCTCTAAAGGCGGTGAACCAAGTACGACCCCCAGCGAGGATCTGGGTCCAAATCCACGGCTCCCAAGCTGTGTGACCTCAGGAAATCTGTGCCTCAGATTCCTTCCCTGCAAAGTAGGGCTAATAGCAGGACCCACCCTCATAGGGTTGTGGTGAGTACTAGGCAAACAGAACTCCAGGGAGCTCTTAGAAAGTGCTCGATCCTTGTCGCTGCCCTTAGTATTACTGATACTGTTGCTGTGCCGATGACTATTACCACTCAGAGCACTCAGACCACCATACGGAGCCAGAGGAGAGACGAGGAGGAGGAGGAGAGTACGGAACACTCTTCTGAGGAGGACCCCGTGGAGGACCTCCGGGGACAGGGGCGGGCACCCCAGCAATAGGACCACAGCTCCCCTGTCAGAAAGACAGAGGCTGACCCCGGGTGCTCAGGGCTGGGGTGGGCTGGAGGCTCTGCTGGGTCCCCGCCCTGGGTGAGTCCCGTGTCCTCCGAGTCTCTGTTTCCTCATCTGTGCAACAGGAATAATCTCGCTCACTGACAAGTTACTCTGGGGATCCACGGGCCTAGCCTCTGTGATACACCACTGGTGCTCAATAAATGCGGGGTGCATCTTAACCTGAATCATGCTGGGTCTCACTTCCCACCTTATGGCCTGGGGACTCGGATTTTTGAGCCCTTGCTGATTCTGAGAACAGGGTAGATTCATCTCCCAGGGATGCCTGAACAAAGCACGGTGAACTCGGGGCTCAAACAGCAGGAAGTTCCTCTCTCATGGCTCTGGGGGCCTGACGTCTGAGTTCAAGATGCCGGCAGAGTGGGTGGCTGCTGAGGCCGTCGGGGGCAGGTGCTCTGGGCCACTCCCTTAGCCTTCGGAGCCTACTGGCCATCTTTGGCCTCCCTTGGCTTAGATCTCTGTCTTCATGCTCACATGGCATCCTCCCCGTGTGCGTGTCTGGGTCCAAATTCCCTCTCTTTATAAAGACACCAGCCTTATTGAAGTAATAGACCCAGGGTGACCTCATCCTAACTAATTATATCTACAAAGACTCTATTTCCAAATAAGGCCACATTGTGAGGCAATAGGAGTTACGACTTCAACATAGGAGTTGTGGGGGGACATGAGTCACCCCTAAGACATGGCCATGATATGCGGGGATAATCCTGGGACCAGGGACACATAGCACAAGTTTAGGGAGGTGGAGGGTTGACGAAGGAGGTGAGGACCATGAATTTTCTTAACAAAGTGGGGAACACAAAGCCTTCATGGGATCATTGCGGGACGAACAGCGCCAAATCCAGCTCCATGGCACCTCCTCAGGGAAGCCCACCCTGATTCTACCAGGGAGAACACTCATTCCAAAAATAACTGAAACATTCTGTATTTTCTATATAATAGATAATTGGTAAAGACAATATGTAGATTATATCTTACATGGAGTCACATCTTATACTATATATCATATCTCATACTTTTATACGCCTATGTATGTGCACACACACACACACACACACACACACACACAAATGTACATCTTCCTCAACCTCAGCTGTGTCCAAATCCCAGATGGCCTTGCTTACTCACCTGGCAGGCTGGAGCCCAGGGGGCACCTGGTACACAGTAGGCGCTCATCCCTTCTGGCTCTGACCCCAGTGCCCCCAACGCACGGATGGTTCCTAATTCCAGGGCTGGACTCGGCCAGAGCCTTCCTTGCCACCATCTGTGTGGATGGTCACTTGGGAAGCGGCAGGAAAGTTCAGAGCGTCTCTCTTTTGGGGCCCCAGAGGCGGAGGGGGTTGGATGGGGCTGGAAGGAGCATGACTGGGGGCTCTCTGCACCACTGGACTTGGATGGCCCCCCTCCCTGAGTACGTTTCGCTGCTTCTCCCCTCCTCACGGAGGGGGAGCTCACCCACCGCGTGCCAGGGCAACTTCCGCAGGTGTCCGCGTGCAGAGAGAACGCACGGGCCTGGCCACCGGCGGGAAGGACCGGCCTGGTGAGTGGGCGCCTCGTCCAGGCACAGCGAGACCGGGAGCCGCTGCTGCAGGGCAGTGGGGCTGCGGGGCGCAGGAGCACCGCGGGCACCGTGGTGAACACGCAGGAGGGCCGCTGCGGGCAGTGCTCCGACGGTTCAAGGGGAAACCCCACTCGGGGAAGGCACTGGCCTCCTGATTCAGGCGTGGAGGGGACAGGCCGCACCCTGCAAACGGCCGGACCGGCCAAGGACGCGGCGGACGGTGCCCACGGGCTGGAGGAATCCACAACACCAGCGTCTACACTACCCAACTCAGCCGGACTCAGTGTGGCCCCCAGCGAAGTCCAAGGCAGCTTCCAGGGACACAACTTACAACCCAAAGGCCGTGGAACCCGAGGAGCCCCACGGCCCAAGCAGAGAGCGGAGACCCACAGGCTGGAGACTCCTGCTCCGGCGCGAACCACACGCCCATCCGCAGCCACCCGAGCGCACAGCCCGCGCGGCAGGCCGAGGCCACCGGGGACCCACGAGTCACGGTGCCGTGCCCACGGGCCCATCGCCACAGCCACGCGGGACGCGCAGTCCCGCCGTCGCCGCCGCCACCAAACGAGCCTGCAGGCTCCACACCCGGCGCGTCCCCGCGCAGCCAATTCACGCGCCAGGCGGCCCGACTGGGCATGCGTGGGATGCTGCCCCTCCTCCCCCCGCCCCAAGCGTCCTCCCCTCCTCCCCACCGCGTCCTCCCCTCTTCCTCCAGTGTCCTCCTCTCCTCCTCCCACGCCCTCGCCTGCTTCTCCTCCCACGTCCTCCTCTCCTCACCTCCTCCTTCTGTGCCCTCGCCTTCTCCTCCCTCCGCGTCCTCGCCTCCTCAGCGTCCTCACCATCTCCGGTCAGCCGGCACGGCACGTGGAGACAGTGTGGGGCGGGAACACGCATGCGCCCTGCAGGGCGGCAGGGGAGGCTCGGCTGCCCCCTGCCGGCCCTCCGGGGCAGTGCAGGACGCCCAGCCACAGCTCCGTGTCAGTCAGGCCTGCGGATTCCCCCAGGTGCTGAAATTCAAACCGCACGGACCCAAAGACCCCATGCCTTATTCAAAGACGGTTAAGGGACAATTACTTGGAAACCGTAGAGAAGGGCATGAATGCAGCTACAACTTCACAACGTACACCAAAATTCACTCAAAACTGCCCACTGCTACATTTCGAATGCAAATCCGTAACCGTTCTAGAATAAATACACAAGACAGTCTGCGGGCCCTCGGGTCTGGTGACGAGTCCTAACACAAAACACCGAAAGACGACCCCCCCCACACACACACACATCGGTGACGTGTACATTGTAAAATTAAGCCTCTCACTCCTTGGAAGACCTTGTTTGGGGAACCAGAAGACGAGCCACAGACGGGGAGAAAATATTTGCAAAATCCATGTCGACAAAGGATTTGTATTCAAAATATGCAAAGAACTCCCATCACTCCATAGTAAGGAGACAGCCCACCCCATCCAAAGCGGGTACAGGTCTGAACAGACACCTCGGCAGAGAAGACAGGGGTCAAGTGCGATACCAGCCAACAGAGGCCCACATCACGCATTAGGGAATCACGGGTTAGAACAGCCACCAGCTAGCATGTCTCCCTTTCAGAACGCTGAACGCCGAAACAATGACATGGACAGTACCCGTCGCGGGAGGGTAAGGCACAGGGATGCTTCTGTTAAAATACAAAATTCAGCCAAATTAATTAGAGGATCTGGTTGGCCTTATTAAGCGACTCATAAATTGGGCAGCAGCACCCCCTCCAGGAAACAGAGGGGCGACCCCTCAGGGCTTCCATGAAGTCAGGGGGAGAAAGGTTATAACCACAGGGAACACCATTTGAAAGCTTCCCTGTTTAAATTTTATATTTAGTTTTGTGAACCTTGAATAAGAGGCTTTAAATTTATTCCTACAAAACTGACATAGAAAAGTCCAGTCTTTTTTTTTTTTTTTTTTTTTCTGTGTTTCATAGGTTAGCCTCCTGCAGGCACAGCTCCCTGGTTTATTTCGTGGGGATAATGAAGGCAAGAGCAGCAGCGAGAAGCTGTCTGTGCTTTGTGAATACCATGTTTGGTTCTCACAGGACCACGTGGGATAGGCGCTATGTTCCTTCCCATTTTACAAATGTAGACACCGAGGCTCAGAACGATTTGGTAGTTGGTAGGGAGGTGGAACGGGACCTGGCCTCTCTCCTGGGGCTACCCTGCCCTACCGTGGTCTTTTGCGTCTCTGTTGCCCTAAGGGGATCCTTCCCCTTCTGGATGGTTGCCTCTGAATCCCAACCGTGGCCTGTTGCTGCTGGAGCACCCTCCACCCCCACCCCGAGCACAAGAGGAAGAGTCAGAGGGGATAGCCGGGGCTTGGGAGCACCCACCATCCACCTCTATGTTCAGCTAACAGAGGAGTGGTGTTCTCCAGACTGGGTGGGAGACCTGGGGACATGGAGGTCAGGCCCTCACCCCAGGGAGCACACCCCATCTTGCCCCTGAGCCCCCCTCGGGCTGAGGACCCTTCCCTCAGGCCCTTCACGGCTCCCCAGATACACCTCCCTCATCCATTTAGGCCAGAGATTTAGAACATGGCTACTGACTTCTTACAATCCGAAAAAGAGAAAAGCCCCAACACTTCACAAAACACATCTGTCCAACCACACAGGAAAGGACTGATAAAGGCACCCCGCTCCTGCCAGGTAGGGGATGCCACCGACAGTCCCCACCCCAAGCCCCCAAAACACAGGAGGGGGCCAGCTGGGGCTCAGAGGATCAGGATTCCAGCCAGAAGGGGTGTCAGGCATCCTGCAGGCCGGACTGAGGTCCCGTCCACGGTCGCCACTCCGCCAGCACAGACCCCCTTTCACACCCCTGAGAAGATGGCCAATTCTCCAAGAAGGCCTCACCGATAGGTGAAAACAAAAATTAAACAGAACAGCTTTTTTTTTTTTAAGATAATTTATTTAAGTTTCCACCTTCTGACAACCTGAGGTGCAATATAGAGACATAGATTTTTTTTTTTTTTTTTCACAGGAAACAGTTTTGATTTTAGCACTGTTCTGAGATCTGCCACCTTGAAACTTCCTCAGCCTTAAAATACTGTTTGCAGGACGTCACCTGGTGGGACACGGGATTGCATAAGGGGCACACCAACACCTGCATCACGGAACCCTACTTTGGGGCTACTAAAGGCAAGGTCTGGGTGGGGCAACGGCAAATGTGGGGTCCAAGACCGGCTGGCTGAAGGAGAGAACGCATTAATGCAGGCGTGTAAACCATCCCCGAGGGCCCCAGCAGAGGCCGCAGTTTGTAACAAAGGCAGCAGACAGGCCTTGTTTTAACACATTAACATAGTTGAAGGGGATCTATGTCTAATGTCTGAATTTCTAGCATTTCCTAATGTTCAAAGGTTTGGCTTGTCTTCTTTAAGATGCCTTAAGGAAGGGACAGACCCAGGCTCGCTCACGACCTTGCAGAGGAAGCTAACCCACGCTGTCTCTGGCACAGGAGAGACCAGGACCTGTGTCAGCGCTGGGGGACAACGCCCGCAGCGCCTTCTTCCCGTTTTCACAAGCACATGTCCAGGACCAAGGAGGGAACAGGTACAGCCCCCACCCCCCAATTCTAGGACTGACCCGTGGCTCAAGGGGGATTTACCAACAGGCAGTCTCTTTAGCTAAAGTGCAGACCTCTTTGGGGGAAGCTCAGGAGGGATCCTGGTGGCGGTGGGCTCTGCTCAGACTCCACCTTATCAAAGCCTTGGAGTCTGGGGCTTATGAGGATCTGGGATCCCCTCCATCTTCGGACACCCCGTGGCAGGCGTGTGTGGAAGAGACAGGAAGATGGGCAAACCCAGACCTACTGATGCTTTTCTGGAAATGATAAGTTTATCCATTTCCATTAGTAACCAAGAGCCCTGCACTGAGAACGCTTCCCCAGTTGAATCTGAGGGACATGGGAGTTGGCTGGACACAGCTGGGGTGGGGCTCCATTCCTGAGCTCTGGACGACTCGGGGAGCACAGGCCAGCGCCCTGGGAACAGAGCACCCCAGCTCCCATGGGACCCTTCCATCCCTCCCCAAAGAGCATGAGACTCTCTGCCCCAGGGACAGCAAGGGACACCGATGAGGTCCCACCAGAGCCTGCCATGGAGGACGGTCTTAGCATCGAGCATATTTGCTGAAGGGGAACAATCTGAAAATGACCCATGCGTTTGTTATCTGGTCAGTCAGCACAGCACGCCCCTATTCCCAGCCCCACGACAAGGACGCAGGACACCGGTGGCCTGTGTGGCTTTGCCTGGGGTCTGAACATTGCACATTGCTCAACTAGGGGTGCTTCCAGCCCATCCAGTTCCCTTTTTGGTGAAACTCATCCCCGAGGGTCATAAGGAATAAATGATTTATAGGAAAGCTAGGGGACGCAGCAGAGACATGAGAGCGAGGGGGCTTGGGGGCTGGGGGGCACGAGGGACCCCCACCCAGCAGCTAGTCCTTGACTGAAGACAGGGAGAGGAGAGAGCAGCCTGGACTGGTCTGAGCGCTGTAACCCCCTCTCCGCAGGCTGGGGCCGGGCCTCCCTGCTCTGGACAGACCCTCCTTCCCAACCTTCCTCACTGTTTCAGGAAAAGGGCTCCCCCGCCAAGCCTCCACCCCACTGCCAGGAGTCTGCAGTTTTAGGTCATCTGGTAATAACGCTGACGGGCCCACCCGTCAGCCAACGGTGAGGCCGCTGGAGAGCGCCGGAGGGTCCGGCCGGCAGCTTGTGGCCTAGACAGGCGGTCATGGGCCAACCTGCCCCCAGGTGGCTTCTTGGCTCACCCGAACATCCCAGATTTTAATTTGGGTACAGAACTCAGGAAATGGGACTCTTTCTGGTCCTCCTTTTGGTAACGTAAGAACTTAGCAAACCTTCCCCCTTTTTTTGGCAACAGGAAATCATAGTTCACTCCATGTTACTGTACAAGCAACTTAGGGTATCAGAATCTGGTTCTCCTACCTTTGGTTCAACACACATGCTCACACACGAGGCAGATGCAATCCAAGTTATTAACGTGTCCATCCCCCACCTACCGATATTGCTAAAATGAAAACAACAGCTAAACACATACAGGGCCGCATCTTGAGGTACCTGCGTGGTTCGGTCAGTTAAGCATCTGACTCCTGATTTTGGGTCAGGTGATGATCTCAAGGTTGTGAGATCGAGCCCCGCCTCGGGCTCCGCACTGGGCGTGGGCTCTGCCTGGGATTCTCTCTCTCCCTCAGCGCCTGGCCCACCTTCAAAAGCTGCAACTCAACATCATCCTGTTTGTTAAGCAGGGAACTTTTTATTTGAGAGGCTTGGCTGTCCAGGCTCACTGTGATGTGCACAGCCCTGGCGGACGGCCAGCAGAAAGTCCGAACCACCCGTGATGAGGGGCGAGACTTCAGAGCTCCTGGCTTTGGACACTCCACCTACCGGGACGGGAAGCTCTCTTCTAGGATACGATCTGACCCTTCCTGCATTGAATCTACGGTTCCTGAGTTTACAGGAAGGGCTCGCAGAGCTCTCATACCAACGTGTCCCTGTGTGTGCAGCAGACGGAGACTTCTCCACACTCTGGACCTCTGAGAGTGTCCCCTGTCAGTCTGCTCTGGCCGGGCCCTCGAGGGGAGAGACCGTGTCACAGGGACCCAGGGCATCTCAGCAGGGCAAGCTGCCAGCCTGCTTTCCAGGGACGGGACTCCTCCAAGTGAAAGTGGCCAGAGGCATCGAGGAGGGCCCAGGTCTTGGCACGGTCTGAGCCAACTGGGCAGCCCAACCCCACTCTGCCAGCCACATCCGGAAGAACAAGCAATGGGAGGGGAGAAAACCCCAAGCGGTCCTTGCTTCCACCTTCAAATGCTATTTCAGGAGGCCTACAGGGGGGAATCAACCTCTCAAGATCATTTTCGAAGTTAAAGTGCTTGGAAAAGCCCAAAGAAATCAAAGGGGCGTTTCCCTCCAAAGGCCCAGGAGTCCTGCGGGCTCCGCCCCAGGGGGGAAAGGGCAGGGCCTCGCTCCCGGGCACTCTGGAGAGAGCCTCAGAACCCACTCCACTCCCTCCAGAAACCAGAATCAGACTTCTATACAAAACTCTTATATATACAAGGATAAGTCTTTGGGGCACCTTACGAAAAAGCTGTAACGCATTTCAACTAACTACTGAGATGTGACTAATAAAGCCAAAGACGCCAAGGCTGAAGGGAGAGCCTTGCAGGGGACTCGGACAGACCCCCTCCCCCATGCAGCCCCGATTCTACAGAGGGGGAGGGGAGCACAACGGATTCAGGGGTCACAGTTGAGTGTTTCAGGAGGGGACGCATTATCTGACAGTAGCATTGGAGGAGGGGCCCACATACCCCTTAATTTGACCTTATTTGTCTGAAATGCCATCGGTAGAGACATGCACTGTCCCTGGGCTCAACGCTGGCCCGGGGTGGGGTGGGGGGACCTCCGGTCTGTGGGACCTGCCCCAGCAACACAGCTGTGCATTGTGTGGTGACGTCGCCAGACAGGCTGACTTCTCTCTCTCTCTCTCTCTCTCTCTCTCTCTCTCACACACACACACACACACACACGAATGATACCGTTATAAAAATAAGCTGAATTTCAGGATCCAGCCTTCGGACACCAGCCCACTCCCATCATACCAAGCTTCACGTCGCCTCTCCTGTCCTTACCGAGACATGCAGCTACAGCTCCGTCACTGCCCGCTCGTCTCTGGAACGTTCCAGGGAGGCATCCCAGGACGGAAAGCGTTCCAGCACTGGCGGGGTCAGTGACCACCAGGCATGGTTTTGCTGTTCTCCAGGGCAGACCGCGATGTAATGACTGAGAGGTGAGGAGGCAGAGAGGGGAAACAGGAGCGGGGATGCGGGGAAAGGAGAGTGTCCACGGGCCTACTTTCAAGGTCAGTGCCCAAGTGCAAGGGGCAGAGGCAGAGGGAAGCGGCGGACGGGAGGTATTCATGCCAGAGGAGCCACATGCTGGCTGCTTGCTGTCACACGTCCATCCCCTCGGGCCGGCATAGACCCCAAGAGAAAAGCCAGGGTTCCTGGGCACCAGAAGCGGGACAAGGGGGTATCTGCAGAGTGTGCAGGAAAGCGGTCAGCCAGTGAGGGGCGAGGGGGCAGAGGTGCCTTCCCATGGCTGCTGGGGGGCGGGGTCCCCAGGCCCCATGGTCACTCCACACACGAGCCTCACGCCACTGCCCCCAGAAGCCGCTTCTGCCCGGCTGTCCACGACATGGACACAGATTTTTCCGTCTTCCTTGAAATACCCAACAGCAAGGGTGGTTGTTTTGCAGTGACTGAAGAGACTTCTCTTGTCGGCGCCTCTTGGTGGGGCAGGCAGCCCGCGCTCCTCCCAGGAAGGACATGGGGGACTCTCTCTGCATCACAAGGAAGCCACGCGCAGACGGTGCATTGCAGGTGCTCTGACACCGCCACCTCCGGGCTGGTGTGATTCCCAAGCGACCACGCAGATCTCACAAGGACTCCAGGACGCTCACACCCCTTGCTGGGCCTTCTGCGGCCGGGAAGGAGGTCCTCTGCACCAGGCTCTCTCCCTCCCTAAAATAGCCAAGTGTCTCTTTCCTCTTAGCGGTTCCTATGACTCCGGTTCCTGTCACACAGTGGGCAGCTGGCACAGAGCCGGCAGAAGCCATGGACTGACCTGGCCTGCCCGGGGAGGCCCACTGCCCCCTCCGCAAGGCCGTGGCTCAGCAGGAGCCCCGACTGGGGGAGCACCCCCACTCCATCCTGCTGCTGAACAAGAGGGTCCCGGACTGTCACCCGCGTCACTGGTGCATGCCAGCTCCTGATGCCCCCATCTGCATTCCCACGTGCACCGCACACCCTCCTTCTCCTGCGGGCGGCTGCAGCAGGCACTGCCCGGGGCCCACCTCGGCCCTGGTGTCCTTCCTCCTCCTCCTGCTTGGTCCTGTGTTGTGGCCCTGACACCCAGGAGAAGGGGCAATCACCTTGGTTTTAGCCGTGTAATCCCAGAGACCCTTTGGCACGCAGATGTGGGGAGCAGACAAGGCAGAAGGGAGGTGGGGAGATGGGCAACCAGATTCTTCTAACCGCTAGTTCTAGGGCAGCGTGGAGCGGCTCTGGGTGCTTCCGAGGTCATGCAGGGTCATCAGGTAGGGTGACAGCCAGTCGCTGGCCCAGGAGAGGGGTGTGCACCCTCAGCCCTCCTGGAGGGTGCTCCGGGCGACCTCCCATGGCCTGCCTACTCAATGGCCATCTGCTCAATGTGGTCGCTCAGCAGCTTGTACTGCTCTGGAAAAGAAAACAGCGTTAATTCTTGGAAGAAAGATGTTCACACCGACGGGTAGGCCCTGCTCTTGGCATGTGGGCAGTAACAAAGCATGACCTCAGCGGGAATGGCAGCGTCACCGGGAACACCAGGCCGTGAGCTGCTAGCATGCTGCCCGCCTGGCCCCTGGAACTGGGCTCCCTGGAAATGAGACACGTGTTTTTATGGAAAGAACCTGAAGCCCAGGGAAGGCTCCGTGCCGGTGGACGAACCGTGCCAAGGGAGCCAGGCCTGAGTCCTACAAGGACTGAGGGCCGCAGGGCAGGCCAGGGGACAGTGTCTTGCCCAGTGCTGTGGGGCTGATGGGCGCGTTCTGCGATTTTCCAGGGGAGCACCGGGCACTCTCCTACCTCCTGAGGCCACTCTTCTGTGACCCCTCTTAATTTGGCGCAGGATGGAGGATTTTAAAAAAAGATTTATTTGAGAGAGAAAATGCAAGCAGTGGCAGGGGAGGGAAAGGGGCAGAGGGAAAGAGAGACTCCCAAGCCGACTCCCCGCTTTTCTTTTTTAAAGACCACTGTGTCCATCAAGATGTGTATTTAAGCGGAAGCCTTTTTAGACCACGAGGAAAGCCGTTTCGTAGCAGGTGGGATGCCGCGTAAAGGCCGGCTCTAACAGAATAGGGGGCGGATATGTGACCTGTCCTCTCTTGCTAGAGAAGTCAGAGACTCTAGAGCAACGCCACGGCCCCTACACCCATCACGGCAGTGTGGTTCAAGAAACAGAGCAGGCCACTTAGAAGCAAGGGCAACTGATGGCAGAGCTTCAAGTTCAGAGTCTGAGCGCCCAGGCCCATCTTCGCCTTTGGCCCCGTTTGGAAACACGGGGGCGGGGAAGCTCCCCAACCCCAGCGTGCCACACCCCACCCCGGTAAATGCTGTCTAGCAGGAAAGGCCTTTAAATGCAATGGGAAGCGTCCCGTGCATGGAGGGAGATGGGAAGAGCGGAGGGGTGAGGCTGCCCGACAGTTCAGCATCACGTTTCTAATGAACACCACGGCGATCCTTGGAGTGGGGTGGGTGGGGTGGGCAGAGCACTGGTTGCCCAGCCCGAGCCCTGGCCGCCTCTGGCCGCCGCTCACCTTCGTCCAGATGGCCGATCACGGCCTGCTTCTTCAGGAAATCACTACATAGCTTCTTGCTGAGCCCGAACGCCAGCATGTTGTGAGTGAACGTGCTGGAGGAGAAGACACCCATGAGCGGCTGCCCTTCCTTCTCTCTGAGAGGAGAGGAGGGCGGGGGGCGGGGGGGGGGGTTGGACCCGCCTGGAACAGGGAGAAGTGGAAACAAAGGGCAGTCGCCTTGGCCCGGGGCTACTCTTGCTGTGCAACTGCCCACCCCGGGGGGCACGAGGCGTGTTTGTTGGGAACCGGAAGCCGGTCAAAGGTCATTAACCGCGGGCGTGTGGGCTGCGTGAGAACACAGGGCTACAATGACACAGAGATGTGTGATGCTGTCAGGGACGGCTCCCCGCTGCCATGCCCCGCAGGTCAGGTTGGAAGGTCTCCTTGGCGGGGGACCTCTTGTCACCATATCCGGGCATCGGTGTCCCCCTCTGCCCTGCACTGCCCTGCACGAGGACAGGCCTTCCGGCAGGAGAACCCCCGCGCCGCCCCACTCGGTCGGGGCCTCCAGGGTGGGGTCGTCGTCAGTGCTCTCACCCCAGCTGCCCGAAGGTGATGTTCTCGTTGAACCGTAGACTGTCGTTGCGTTCCTCTTGGGTCATGTGGCACCACTTCTCCCTGCAAGCACAGGTGACAGGAGAGGGTTCCCGAATGCCGTCGCACTCCCCTGCCTCTCACCCCCCCGCTCTGATCTACAGGGGCCCCCGACACACAGTGGGGAGCACCTCCCCCAGAGAGCTGTTGGATCCGCTCTTCCACAAAGCCTGCCCAGGGTTCTGCCGCTCTGCCTGACAGGCCCAAACACGAACTGCGTCACCCCGTCCTTCCTGAGACGAGGAGATCCGAAAGCTCATAGGCTTCCTACTGACCCAGCAATGATGTGTGTGTGCTCAGTGGCTGCCCAGAACATTCTCTAGGGGACAAGGACACCATCCCCCATGTCCTTCTCTGTGGGTCACAGATGGGAGGTCCTGACGCCACTGGGGAGGCAGGATGACCTGCAGAGAGGACAGGGTCCCCCTGGCGTCCCAGGGGAGGGAGCTGAGAACCCATCCAGGAGGTCCCTCGGGTTGGCGCTCCCGCTACAGGTCTCACAGGCTCTTTGCAGGGGCAGCGTGTCAGCCTCTTGTGGCAGGGAGGCCCAGGGAGCAGGGGAGCTGGGCCGTGCTGAGGGCCACTGGCCCGTCAGGCCGGATCTTCGCCCGGCTGTACTTCCCAGCCCCGACTTCCTCAGAGGCCCAGGTTCGTGCACTGCGCCCCTCCCCGGAGCACAAGGATGAGACCCCGATCTCCCCAGAGGTCCCCGTGCAGATGGCACGAGGCCTTAGCACAAACTGCAGAAATGCCAAGAGAAAGCAACACGGTCTGTGGGCGGCTTCCCCGGGCGGGACTCTGAAGCCCGACTGTCCTCCCTGGAGAGGGACGCGAGCCTGCACAGCTCTGGGGCAGGAACGCTGCTCTCCGAGCTCTGTGAGCTGTGTGTCCTGATGGAAAGCCACCTCCAGCCACTCCCTGTGGGTGTGGTTGCCCCCTCCCCTGGGAGAGCACCCCTGTCTCGAGCACATTCCCGGCCCCTCCGTGTCTCCCCGAGAAGCGGGCTCCTTGCAGGGGCAAATACAGGTGTGGAGGAGATGCTCGCTTAAGTCCACTGCCCCTTCAAGATTACGCTCTGGGTGATGAGTCTGACTAAAGGTTAGAGAGAGAAGAGACGAGGGAGAGACGAGGCAGAGTGAGGGAGCGAAGAAGCCAAAGGAAGAGAGAAAGAACCAACATCAAACCTTAACTGCTCCCCGCCCGCCGGGCCCAGGGCCACTCGTGCTGCTGTGGCTTGGCGGAAGGCCACAGGACACCGGGGACAGGTATCACTCCCAGCCTCCTCCCGCTGATGACAGGACACCCGTGAAGATACCCAGAGCACGCTTCCAGGCATGACACTAATCCCATCCCATTTTCCTTCTCACCCTCTTTCCTGCAGTGGTTGTCCAGGCACATGAATCCCCATACCATCATCTGGCCTGCTGTGCACAGTTGTGCAGGTTGTGCAATGCACAACCCCACACCATGTGGGAATGACCGGCCGCCCTGACCCTCCTGACCTGGATGAGGAGGAGATTCTCTTGGCTGTGGCAAGTCCTAGAAGTGGGGCATTTACTCTGACCTTCGAAGAAAGCGGTGGAAGGCCGCTAGCACTCAGCAGGTCAGGTGCTGCCTGCCGTCCAATCAGTTCCTGAAAACTGAGATCAATACCCAATACCGGGCATGGTCTAATCCCACACAGACTGCAGGACGTGTGTCTACACTGCCACGGTGGGAACTGGATTGTGAGCAACAGATGCCTTTGGAAACGGAGGCCTTTCTGCCTCTGAGTATCACCAGCCGAGTTTACTGAAGAGGAGAAATGATGCTGGAGGCACGAGGTTGCCCAGGGATCCAGAGCCCACCCTCCCACCCCAGTCTCAGAGGAACACTCGCCCTTCATCTGGCTGAGGCTGGGAGCATGTGTGGGTGCCCCAGGGGGCAGGTCTGAGATGTGTGTGGTCAGACCACATCTGCTCTGGGGCACAGAGTGAGGCCCAGAGGCCGGCACCCCCTCGTGGGATTGGTGCCGACGGCTTGGAGGCGGCTGTGATGCTTCAGCTCTCCCGGGCCTCAGCCACTGGTGCCAGGCAGCCCTGCCCCTCGGAGGTCGTGGTGAGTCATGCTCCCCCCGCTCCCCAAGACACTGTGGGGACGCGGGGGCTTTGTACTAAAGGCCGTGTCCTTATGCCTAAATGCTCCTTTTATAGCCATAATAAGGCTGCGTAAGAAACAAGATCTCTCATAAACAATAAGCACTAAAAATAAATCACTGATGAAAGGAAGCGTGCTTTAGGAAATGTCCGGCGAAAACAATCACTGTACCAGAAACCGTATTGTGAGTAGGCAGGCCTTGAGCTACCAAAATGTATTACAAAAGATACCCAACAAATAAATAAAATCTTTAAAAAAAAAAAAAAGATACCCAGCAAATACAAAGGTCAAATGATGAGATTCAGACCCCACTGGGGGCTCCAAGAAAACAGCCTGTTCCAGGCCCTTCTCTCCGGGGGGCACCCTCACACACAAACACACACACATACACACACACACACATGCGTGTGCACAGGCTCCACACCAGGCCATGGCTGGCAAGGCGGGGGCAGCTGTCTTCCTCCCTGAACCCCAGGCCTGTCGCAGGGGCAGGGGAGGGTCTGCCAGACCCCTGCACACGTGGGCACCTGGCTGACAGAGCCAGATTCTCTGTGCCCCCCCCGCCGCCCCCATGGCTTCGTGCCACGACCAGATTACCAAGCGTGTAGTCAAGGGGGTGGGTTCGAGGCCTGCTCTGGAGGGGCTGGAGTGGCCAGTGGAACTCACACCAGGCCCTGCAGGGTCTCGAGTGCCTTCTATGTGTCCTGTTCCTGGTGCTCTGCCCTTGGCGAGCCCCCACCCGCCACCGGCCTGTCCCAGCGCGGGGCTCGCCCCGGGCGGCGGTGCTGAGCTGCCCCAGCGTCCGGGCTCTGCCTCCTGCAGCGGCTTGCGCGCGGCTCCCGCCCTGAAGTGGCCCTGGCGGGGACCCCCGGCCCCGTAACATGAACAAAGTCACGTGGACACACACCTCTTCTTCTCCTCCTCTCCAGCATCCCCTCTGGAGCGGCAGCAGAAACAGGTAAACAGAGGAACATGTCAAAGTCATGCAAGATATGTGGATGGAAAAAAGAGAACAGCGAGAGAGGAGCGTTATTACAGGCAGAAACAGAGAGACGGAGAGAGACGGGGTACTCGAGACCATTCATCTGCTAGGAGCCCGACAGCTATGTAAGCAGCAGGAGGAAACCCCATTCGCCTACAAGCATCGAAGCACTTCCTTCAGTCTGGTTTCCGGCAGAGCATGGGATTCTCTCTTTAGAATCCCCGGGACGGCTCCGGCATCCTGCCCTCTGCGCGCTCCCTCTGCCTCCCTCAGGAGAGGCAGCCACAGCGGACTGCAGGCCGTCCCGCCCGGGGAGGGTGTCGCTACCCCTGACCCGTGCAGACAGGTCGACCGCACTTCCAATCCCCCCAGAGCTGGTGGACCGGCCACACAGCAGGCACCTGCTGTCCCCTGCCAAGGAGAAAGGCTGAGGGGTCTCCCCCTGTTAGAGAAGGAGAGGTTCATGACAGAGAGGGGGTGCCAATAGGGGAGCCAGGACTAGGAGGGTTGCTGCCCTTTCCTGCCCAGCCACTCGACACAGTGGGCAGCAGCTGTGGCTTGCCGTGGCCAGAGCAGGAAGGGCCACCAGCCCTCACTCTGCCCTGTGCTCTGTGTGACCGTTTACAAAGGGGGTCTTCTGATGTGGCAAGACTAGCGTCAGGGAGGCTGGGAGGTCTCAGGCTGCAGACCAGAGCAGTAAGCTGAAGGTAGCAATCGCATCTCCCCAGAGGTTAGCTCTCTCGAGCTGAGTCTATGGTGGCAGGGGGGTGGGGGGGTGGGCGGCAGGCCCTGCGTGCCCCGAGTCCTGTGGCCGCGGTTCTTACAGCAACAGGCAGACTCAATCCTTGGGGGTCCTGATGGGTTCATTCTGGGGGAGTGTGCGTTTCAGAGGAGGGTCAGCCCAAGTCATGCCAGAGCCCAGGACAGAAAGCGCTCATGCAAGCCGAGGAACCCCATCGACCCCCGCCCACGAAGCTGAGCGTGCCCGGGACCCCCCAGGCAGCTCGCCCGGCACTGGGGCCAGAAGGAGCTGAAAAAGAGATGGATGCACCAACTCAGCCGCCGTTCTGCTCTCCTCTGCAGAAATTTGAAATTAAAGCCAGTCCCACGGCCTCTGCCGCAAGGCAAGGCGGACCCAGACGCTGCTCCTACCTGGTAGTGGGAGACCGCTTTCTCCTCTCATAGTGGACAGCATCGAAGAAAGCCGCATTCCAGAACCTCAGTGTGTGCCTGGGAGACAGAGCCGAGTGTCAGTCCTCTGGGGGGAGGCTGGGAGGCAGCTCTCAGCACACCGGAGGGATAAGAACACACGGCTTGTGGACACATCGCAGAGAGGCAGAGCAGGGAAGAGGAAAATGGCCAGGAGCCTTTGTCCCAAACCAAGGTGGTTCCCTGGGCTCCTGGCTAAGGGTCATATCTCTCCCAGGAGGAGGGTATGACACGGAGGCAGGTAAAGTCCACATCCATCTGCGGGACATGGAGGAAGGCCTTCTTCCGCTTCTGCACCCCCGCTGGGCCTCCCAGAGGAAGATGGGTGTTTGGGGACCCCTGCTGCCCGAGAACAGGGTCTAGTAACATAAACGGGAACCTGGTACGGACAGGCCGCGTGCAGAGAACAAACATGTTCATAGGGACACACAAGTAAGAGACGTTCTTCCTAAAGATCAAGGGTCCGCCAACTATGCCACTGTGGCCTTCGAGGGAGGGGCGCATCTGATATCCCTGGGACTCGGGGGCCGGCTCTCTGCCTACTTGGGGGTGAACACAGTATGGCGATGGAGAGCCTTTGGAGGGACTAAGGCAGCCCAAACAGTGATCCACAGAGCGAGACAGAGGGCAAGGGCTCCCCCGACCGCCGGCCTCTCACTTTACTCATGACCTTCATTCCTAGACAATCGTATAACATAGCTTTATTGGGATATAATTCACATACCATAAACTCAGTCTTCTAAAGTTCACGATTCAGTGGTTTTTACTGTATTCCGAGTTGTGCAACCCGGAGTGCGATCCTCAGAACATTTTCATGCCCCCATAAAGAAACCCTGTCCCCGTGAACAGTCCCTCCCTGACCCCTCTTCCCGCAGCCCCCAACAATTGCTCAGCTGCTCTGTCTCCAGGGACGGGCCTGTCCCTGACAACAGATGAGAATAAACAGCATCATCTACTACGTGGCCTTTCATGTCTGTCTTGTAATTGTTTCCAGGTTCACCGGTGTCTCAACAGTGAGCGTCTCGCCCCTCCTGTGGCTGAAGAAGACCACGTGGTCGGGAGGTATCACATTTTGCAGATCCACACATCACGCGTCCCTGTCCATGGACATCTGGGTGCTTCCCAGCTATGGGCTATTAAATGTGCGTGAGTCTTGGCCCGAGTACCTGTTCTCAGTTCCCTCAAGCCCCTGGCTAGGAACGGAACTGCTGGGCTGCAGGCTAACTCTCCGCTAACATTTGGGGGAGCTGCCAGGTTTGCTCGGCCGCTGTCCCCCTTCTCTCCCCGCAGACAGGGTATGCAGGTTCCAGTTTCTCCACATCCTCACCCACACCCGCCACGGTTCCCCTTTTCTATTCCAGCTATCCCGGGGAGAGCGCGGTGAGCCCCGGTGGCGAGGGAGCCGCGGGGGCCAGGAGCTCGGGCCCGCAGGTGTGAGGGCGGCCTTACCAGATGGGCTGCTGCTTCAGGTGCGTGTACAGGTAGATCTTCTCCCCCTTCCTTTCTTCCTCCGGGCTGTACACGGTCACTGCGGGAGGGCGACAGACACCGCCCGTAGCTCCGGTTGCCCCCACAGGTTGGCAAACCCCTCAGCGACCCTCCCGGCAGGCACCGCTTCTCCCCAAAGGTTATGGAAACGCACGGTAAAAATTTCCAGACCACTTGTCCAACACCGCCCGCGGCCAGGAAGGACGCTCCTGCCGCCTGGCTGTGGGGGCTCCTTCTGAGGGAAGGATCCCTGGCACGGCCCCCCACACCCACCAATATGTCCCCTCACTTCCCTGCCTTGAGGAATTTAGCTCCCGAATCCTCTCCCCAGAGAAGAGGCTCCCCACCGAAATTCCATAGGCAAGTACAGGCCAGGGTGGAGAGAAGTTGGGAGTCACTTAGGACAGAATCTGGTGCCCGGGGGGGAAGGAGCCTGGATGTTCAAGGGCCTGCTTGGTGAGGCTGCTGGTTACCCAGGGTGGCAGCTGGGGGCAGTCGAAGACCCCTTGGGGGCCTGGCTACGGGACCAGGGGCACTGCTGTGGCACAGACGGACACCTGCTAGGCCAGGAGAGCACTGGGAGACACTCACCTGTCTTCTGCGGCTTCTCCTTGGGCTTGTTCTCATCCTCCCTGGGGGACAGAACCGCAGCAGTGACATAACGACCCCCCCCCACCCATTTTCTCAGTTCAGAGGAACCGGTCTAACCCGGCTGAAGCAGGATTATGTCTCTTAGCAATGGGTACATTTCATGTGGTTTCTTTTGAAAAAGTGTTATGAAGTCGGTGCTATATTTACCAACTGCCAATCTTCCAGGATTAAGGAGATGCGGCAAGGAGGCCCCCTTGCACCATTTCTCTGATTCCAAAACTGCTTGGACCAGACAAGGAACAAAACCAAGTCTCCCGGCGGGAATCAGCCATCGGAGAGGACAGTGGGGACCGCAGGGAGCCTGGGGTTCTCTGGCTGACGTGCCCCCTTTCTTGGGAGGTTTGGCTTCAACACCCTGTTCTCAAGCACCCGGTCCCGGAAGGCTCCTGAGCTCCTGCCGCAAAACGGCTGTCCTGGGGGACGGGGGTCTTTCCCTGCCTACCTGGTTCCGTTCACACGAGCTTTCACCACACTTCCGGGAGGAAGAGCCAGGGAGGAGCTGTGATTCCCCTCCTGCCCGTGGACAGTTTCCACATGCTCCCCCCATCAGTCCTAGAAGACCCCGGCCCCCAGGACATCCCTGTCTGTCAGCCAACCCACCAGCATGTGTGAACCCCAGAGAACTCTGGGGAGTCAAGCGGGGCTTGCAGCTGTGCCGCAGGCCCCAAAGGTCACCCAGGGCGGCCAAGTGGATGCTTCCATGGCCAGCCCACGGCCTCCCTGTCACCGCCACTGGCAGGTGGCACGTGGCCTCAGCCCTCGGCCACAGCCGCCCCTCCCCCCACAGTCCATCTGCTGACACGTACTCGTGTTTCCTGGCCAGGGGTCCCTTCAGCTTGGTCTCCAGTCCCCCGAAGAAGCCCTTGACGTTCTCTGTCTTGGCCGATGTGTTCTTTAGCAGCCGCTCAGCGATGTCCTTCTTCTCCGCCAACCAGCTATTGGCAGACTTCAGGTAGGAGTCGATGCTCCCCGCAGGCTTCTCCTTGGACTCGGAGGGCAGCAGGTGCGGCTTACCTGGAGTGGGGGAGAGGCGGGAGGGGGCAGGAAAGGAACCGCGCTGTGTAGCGGGAACAACAGGACGCCGGAGCCTCTCGGTGACAGTGGCAACCAGCGAAGGACCCAAGATGCCAGGGGAAGGCGGAGGGCCGGGCCTCTCGGGCCACAGCTAAGCACCTGCTGCATCTAAGAAGGCAGCCAGGTGTACCTGGACTAATGAAGAAACAGGAGCGGACCCAGCCCTGAAGCCTGAGGACCTGAAGGAGGGGAGCAACGGACACACAGAGCTCCGCCGCGGCAGCAGAGTCCCAGGGTTAGAGGGGGCCGAGGAGCCTCTCCCTGTGTGGGGAGGAGCCTGTCCGGAGCAGACTCTAGACAGGCTCCGGGACCCCGTGTGGGCCTGAAACTGGACGAGGCGGGAGTGGGCATCCCAGAGAGAACAGTAAGGCCAAAGGCTCTCCCGCAGCTCAAGGCGCCGCCTACAGGTCAGAGTCGCCCTCAAGTCGAGGTGCCCAGACAGGTCAAGACGGGACTGCCGGTCAGAGATACCCTCTTCGGGTCCCTGGGTGACTCAGTCTGCTTTGGGCTCAGGTCATGATCCCAGAATCCCGGGATAGAGCCCCACACCGGGCTCCTTGCTCAATGGGAGCTCTGCTTCTCCCTCGGACCCTCCCCCCGTATTCTCTCTCTTGCTCACTGTCTCTCTCAAATAAGTAAGACCTTTAAAAAAATCCTAAAAAAAAAAAAAAGATACCCCCTTCAGAGCCTTGCAGGTCAAAGGCCACCCCCCCACCATCAAGGTGCTGAGTGTCCCCTACTAATTTAAGCTGCTGTGGGCACAGATGTGACTCCCACTCCTTCGAGAAGGAAGAGCCATGGTTTGGATGAGGGGTTCCTATCTGACCCAAAGTTCTGGTACGAAGGGCCCATCCAGCGCTAAGGCAGTCCGCCCAGCTGTCACCAGAACTGAGGCACGGGGGGGATGGGCAGTTGGGAGTGTAGGGAGGACAGAGCCGAGCTGCAGAAGACATGGGGTTTGGACACAAGACCAAAACTGTGCACCCTGAGAGAGGTGGGAAGGGAGGCCGTGCTCACTGCCGCGCTGACCCAGCTCTAGACCATGCGCAGGCCCCCAGCAGCCTTCTGCTTACAGCGGCCTGAACTAGTCCCCAACATCACACCCAAGGAACCTCACGTGGGGAGCCCTCAAGCTCCAATGACCAGAAAGTTCCAGAGCAATGAGCCAGAAGAGCTGTCAGACGTCAGGATGAAGAACGATCTGCCCTTGCTGGAGGGACATCGCTGGCCCACACCAGGGACGCTTTCCACCCCAAGACCCTTAACTACGCCTCCCACACTCTTCAAGGGCCAACCCCGTGTTGTATTATGCTAAAACGTGAAAGAGTAGTCCTCACATCCAGCAATTCCTGAGTCGCCCACGAAATTGCCCACCAAGTGGACAGCTGCTGGGTGACTTCCTTCCTACCGCGGTGGCGAGGCAGCCGCTTGACCCACGTTATGGACCACACCTTCCCCTCCTGTTTCAGGTGTCTCTCTCCTTGCACATCTCGCCCTAACCCCAGGTTCTGTTGTTTTCTGGAAGCCTCACAACTGCACCGCTAATGGGGGAAGAAACGTCACTTGATGCCATGTTACAAGGGCACAAACCTTGAGTTTCCATGTTTGCCCTCTATGGCGCTCGCGTCCCCGGGCCTTACCAATGTGGTAGTAGGTGAAGCACATGGTCATGAGGTTCTTGGCGGGCCCAAAGTCGTCCATCTGATGACACCTAAAATGAAAAAGGAAGGCCGGCCAGCTCAAACGCCATCCTGCCCACTTTTCTCACTGCGACCTCTTGAAGCAAGAGCTAAAAATGTTACGAATATGCCCACATTTGGGGCCCTGGGTGGCTCAGTGGGTTAAAGCTTCTGCCTTTGGCTCAGGTCATGATCTCAGGGTCCTGGGATTGAGCCCAGCATCGGGCTCTCTGCTCAGCCGGGAGCCTGCATCCCCCTCTCTCTCTCTGCCTGCCTCTCTGCCTACTTGTGATCTCTGTCAAATAAATAAATAAAATCTTAAAAAAAATATGCCCACATTTATACCTCACTCCCCAGATGCTATGTAGAAGCAATCAAAAAGAATCCCCAACTGCTTATCTTTTTCAGAAGGATCTATATTCGCCGGGATGTGTGTCATCAACAGTGGTTATTGCCGGGAGGAGGACCACAGGACTGAGGACAGGGTTGTAAAAGGGGGTTTCCTTTCCATTTGAGCTGCTGTGCCTGTCTACTCTGTTCTTCTGTGCTTTTTTTTTTTCTATTTAGTTTCTGACCTTTTTTCTGTTTAGTTTCTAACCTTGTATTAACAAGGTTATTACATTAACCTTGTTTAATGTATTTAATGTTTAAAGTATTAACAAAAGAAAAGTCAATGGAATGTATCTAGACGGTGGGGTCAGGGCCAGTTCTATCTTTGAATATAAAATAATCTAAGGGGGGCCTGGGTGGCTTGGTTGGTTAAGCATCTGCCTCCAGTTCAGGTCACGATCCTGGAGTCCTGGGATCGAGCCCCACGTCAGGCTCCCTGCTCAGCAAGGAGCCTACTTCTCCCTCTGCCTCTATCCCACCCCCCACTCGTGCTCTCTCTCTCTCTCAAATAACTAAATACGATCTTTAAAAAAAAAAAAACTAATAAAACTTGAAGAACTAAACTCTGCCAATAAAATCATAAAGGACTATAAATAAAAGTAAAAACAGAAGACACTAATAAACTAAAAATTATAAAACTCAAATTTAAAAAATACGTATTTTTAAAAGATTATAAGGTACTTTTCCTTTTTCTTCCCCCACACACAGAAATACACATGCTCACTGAGAAATGGGAAGATTCTGTTTTGGTTGGGTTGGGATTTGAATTTTATTTTCCTACACACCCCCCCCCAATTTTACTGAAGGAAAAAATCAAACTCAGTCCAGAATTAACTATGTTACCACGTGAGACAGGTACTGTCTGCACAATAGGGATCCGTGAGAAATCCTACGATAGGAATGTCCGGAAGCGGAAGTCTCCTCGGGGCCGAGAGTGCCGCACACAAGACAGCTGCGCCTGTTTGAAACCGACTCCTTCCATGACGCTCTCTTGTTCCTCCACCCTTGCCAGCTCCGAGACCCAGAATCCCCCCCACACGAGCCTATCCTCAACACGGGACATTCCGAGCAGGTGCCAGAAAAACAGGGACCCTCCCCTTTATGGTCTTTCTCCTCCAGTCCACGCTCCATGTTTGTGGAGGGGGCAGGGACTAAAGAGGTGAGGAGACATCGAGACACTGGGGAACTAAGAGCTGGTATGTCTCTGCTGCAGGAGAAGAGGAAGGAAAAGTAAAGGAGGGGGTTTTCAGGCATGGAAGGACAAAAGGGACATGGGGACAAACCATGGGACCAGGACCTGCTTCAGGGCCACAATGAGGGGACAAGGTTAAGTGGGGCACAAACAACTATCAGATTGGGGCTTCCTCTCCCCCGTCCTTTCCCAATTCTCCTCCAAGTGCTCCCCTCTTCCTCCCATCAGTAAGGCTGCTGTTCCCTTTCCCAAGGCAGAGACACATCCCCTCCTTTCATGCCTGTGTGTGTGTGTGTGGGGGGGTGCTGTCACCTGCTCTGACGCAGGTCTAGCACGTATGATGTGAGTCTAGCCGTCCCAGGGACCCGGGGCCTCAGGAGGAGAGAGCCCGTGAGTCACACAGCCTGCCTCCCACAGCTACACAGAGGTGGAGGGGGGCCCTTTCATCACCCCCCAGCTTCTACTGTGCTGTCTGTGATAAAAGGTTCCAGCAGGGCCTAATTAGCACGCAGAGCAGGCTGAAGGCATCTGATCGTGTCATTAAGTGGGTGGTTATCTAGCTGGAAGTGCTCCACAACAAGAAATCCAGAAAAGGCTGCATCTCCACCACGGGAGGGCAGGGTCAATGGCATGTCAGCCCCGCCTATCCTGACGGGGCCCTCGTGGAGGGATCTGCTTACGCCCAGCTGCTGTCCCCTAACCTCCCCTACCGTGGGGGTTGGACCCTAACTTCCTCCCCCGGGAGGCTGGTGCAAGGCCTCTCTGTGGATGCCAGCAGCGGGGGCTAGGGGGTGCGGTTCAGAGCAAGCACGAGCTCATGACTCGTGTGGCTGTTACGACTGGGTTAGTACGGGGCAGGAAAAACGGGGAAGACATACTTTAGGACAAAGGCTTTGGGCACAGCATCACTTACTCGAACAGGACCACGGCGAAAGACTGCACCAGGCGGTAGAAGGTCGGCTCTGAGACACACTTGGAGTTGCAGCGCTGTGTGGGAACGGGGCGGAAACGTCACTGGGCGGGCAGGCGGCTGTCACTCAGACAGGCGTCGGGCTCACCACGCTACGCACTGCCCGACACTGCTGGGCTGTGAGCCTGGGACGGGAGTAGCCTCCTCTGTGCTAGAGTAACTGGGCCCCCAAGCAGAGCACAAGCCAACATTTTCCTGCAGCTCTTTGAAATTTTAAGAACTAGGAGCCCCACACACTCACCCATACAACACAGAACGGCCTGGAGGGATGAAACCCCCAGAGGACAACATGGGCCATTTCTGGACTGGAGAGTTTGGGGCCGTTTCTCTACGCGTGTTGATCAGCATTTGCTAATTTCTCTTGGAAAAATAAATTGTGAGGGACGCCTGGGTGGCTCAGTTGTTAAGCGTCTGCCTTCAGCTCAAGTCATGATCCTGGGGTCCTGGGATCGAGCCCCACATCAGGCTCCCTGCTCAGTGGGGAGCCTGCTTCTCCCTCTCCCTCTGCCCCTGCTTGTGTCCCCTCTCTCGCTGTGTCTCTCTCTGCCAAATAAATACATAAAATCTTTAAAAAAAATTATAGAAAAATAAATTGTGATAAAAATACCTGAAAAAGCCAAGAGTTAAAGCTACTTTGCAGGAAAAAAAAGAACCTACGAGGTATTTACAAAAAATAATTATTTTCTGAACTCGCATGGCTGTCACCATCTACGTTACCTTTGTAAAACTGAACATTGTGGGCTACTGAATAAAACTACGCATGGACATCGTCCACATGCTTGCCCTTCAAAAAGGGACTTTTCTGTAATTGCACAGATTTGCAATTTGTGCAATTACAAATGAGTTTGCTTGCTCATTCTTTCTAGCGGGACAACCAATGAGCAACTTCCTGTTTCCCGCTATTCTAACAAGGCCTTTTGGGAACATCTTTAAGTAAGTTCTACTCATTTCTCTGCTGGGTTGTGGTTGTTTCCTGGGGCTCTTTTCTTCAGAGCGGGAGCAGCAGAGGTGGCGAGAAGAGGCCACACCAGCTGTGCCTCCCGTCACCACCCCCTCACCTGGGCGCTCACGTATCGAGCAAACCACTCGCGGCCTTTTCCGTTCTCGCTGCTACAGTACTCTCCAAACTTGGCTTTCTCCTCCTGGTCCAAGTCCTCCCTGAAAGGAGCAGAGCAGGAAAAGCAACTTTCAGTCCTCGGCAACAAACACAGCCAGAGTGGGGAAGAGGCAGGAGAGGCAATGGGGAAGTATGGCCCCAGCCAAGTGTGGACGCCTGGCTTACACCAGCACATCCCACCCTCTGGCAATCCTGGCTGTGTATGTGAGGGATAGAGACTGGGGGGCCCGGGGGTCATCACAGCCGGGGTGAACAGACGCTCACCTGACCTCAAACCACCTCATCGTGGGAGGCGAACACTCTGTCCCCAGATTTAAAGACAAGATAAAAAAGAAACAGAAGGCTGACGATCAATGAGCTCATGCAATCTTTCGTTTATTTAAGGTTTGGTAGAAAACATCTTGGTCTCATTTATCCCAAAATACCAACACCAGATGAAATCAGGGAATTTGCCAGCCAGTCTGCAGTGATTTCTGAAACGCTCTTGAAAATGCATCCGGCTCAGCTGTCCGGGCTCCATACTGCTGACAGGCAGCCGCAAATACAGATTGGCCTTCCTGACAAATTAGCAGGCTTCTGCGCTTTCTCCCCTTTCATTAACTGGGTGTGCTCAGAGAAAGCTGACTAATTCCAGTGTTAGTCAAACAAAATTAGGAGAGAGCCACATCTACCGCTCTCCCAGAATGCGTGCAAAATCAAACACGAATGCGTTTTGGGATCGTCCCATATATGGACTATCACGGAACTCTCTTCCCTATTCTAACTGCAAAGAGAATGGACACACACCTAGAAAAGGCAGACGTCCACCTCGCCAGGTTACAAACAAGGGCCCTTAATCGCTGTAGGAAATACTGGCCTCTTTACATAGTGTCAGCAGGCAGATTTTTCCTACTTTTTTAATTAAATGGGAAAACGGTCCCGTTGGTCCCTGAGCTCCTCACCCTGAAGTGTGGGCACAGAGAGTGTGGAGGTTTGGCTGAAATGCAGAGTCAGACTCAGCAGGTCTGGGTGGGGCCCAAGACTCTGCATTTCTAGCAAACTCCCATGACGCGGCAACTGCAGGTCCCCATCCAGGGAACGAGCAGCAAGGCCTTCAGTGACTAGCGTGTGATGGGGATGCAGGGCAAGGCTGACATCCGGAACCCAGGAATCTGGATTTGCAGGCTCCCCGCCCCCACGCTGAGATATTAACAAGAGTTGGGGGGGAGCTGGAGGCCTCCCCACAAACACCCTCTCCTCTGTCTGATCCCCAATCCAAACTCCACTTCCTGCTGCTCCAGTGGCCAGAGCTCCTATGTACACCTTCAAGAACCATCCAAGAAAGGCAAGAAGGAGAAGCAAGGACGGGTCCGCATCCTGGCAGCTGCTTGAGGCTCCACTGCCATGAGCATCTCGAGAATTACGGGTCATCGAAACCTTCGGGGCTATACCATCCCTGCCCTGAGAGTCCCTAGTCACGGCAGCGCCCCAGCCCAGCGTGAGGCTGATGCTAACGTGCCAGGACTCAGACGCGGGGAAACCATCCTAGAGTCCTCCTGGATTTAGCAGAAAGGACATGAACATGTTAGTGGAGTGGCTGGAGCCGGGGGGTGGGACGGAAGAGGCAGCAAGAGCTCTCCAAGTGCTTCTACCTGCAGCCGGGGGTGGGGGCTGAGAACCACCCAGGAGGCCCACCCCTGGCTGGTGAGGGAGCGGAAGCCCGGGCTCCATCAAGGACAGAGCCCAGAGCGGGTCCCGGGGGCTCACCCTCCAGAGAAGATCTTCTCCACATAGCCGCGCATGAACTCCCGGAGCTCCAAGGTCTCCTCGTCCTTGGCCGACTCAGTGCTCTGGTTGGAAGAGAAGGACTCATTGGAGGAGGAGCGGCGGTACTGGTCCCAGGATGGGTGGGAGGGCGACTCGCCCATGTCATTCTCGCTGTCCGCAGACTCTGTGGTCTCGCTCTCCGAAGCTCCATCGCCCTGGGAGCTGTCCCCTTCCTGCAGCTTGGGAGGCAGCATCTCCAGGGGCGAGGAGGCAGACGGCTCAGTCCCGAAGTCAATCAGCGCGCCCACGGGGACCTCCGGGGCCTCCATGATTCGGGGAGGCTTCCAGGCTGGAAGACCAGCAGACGGGACTCCCAGACGCGTCAGCGGGAGCTGGAGGCCACGCGCACAGGTTGCTTGGTAGCTGCTGGCCACCAGGAGTCCTCCGGGGCAGCTCTCGTGGTCCTAAGGCATCTAGAATGGAAGACACAGAAACATGATCACCATGAGAGCTACTCCCTGCGTAAGGGGAACTTAGCGCTGAGAATCCAGACTTCAATGAACGAAGGAGGCCACAAATTTCCTGAAAAAAGAATAGGCTCCAAACTTCTAGAATCTGGGTCATCACTACATGGACATCATTTCCCGACTGCCTACTGCTACACACCTGGCACATGTAGGCACTCAGGACCTATTGGTTGAACAGCAACGAGCAGGACTTCTCCCAACTACACCTATGACTTCAAAGCCACTGCACCTGCTGGCCCTCTCCCTGCTCTGGCCCACCCGACTGACGCCAAGAAATACAAAGGCCGAGCCCGGGCTAGAATCCGAAAATCACCAGGGACACATCTGCCTGCTCGCTGCCGTGTCACTGGCTATGGGAGATGGTGTCGTCCGGCATGTTGGGAAAGCCGCCTCTGTTAAGCACGTGGGCCCCTCCCTTCCTGGGCTCCCACTTGAAGACGCTTCTCCTCAAGGCCCAGACCCTTCCCAGGCTGTCAGACAGATGCCCCTTTTCATATCACTCACCACCCCGCCACCAGCTTCTGAGGGTCATCTGCTGCCCAGACCCAGCCTCTCCTTCCCGCCCTCCCCCTGCACCTGCAGGATGAGGACACCCGGATGAAGGCATGTGTCTCGCGGTGCCTGGTCCTTCCGCCCTCCCCCTTCCCCACTCCACCCCGTCTTCCTGCCTCACCCTGCCCGGATGTTGTCCATCTCCCAGGGGGACACGGTGACGCCTCTTTCGAGCAGCTCACTCCAGCCCTGGTCAAAACTATTCCCGATGCCTGCGCGCACCTCCAGCATTGTGCCTACCCCCATTCGTGGTGCCGCTTGTGTGACGGACAGGTGTTCCCATTTCTGTTTGTCCTGCCACAGTCTACGCACCTCTGGAGCCATGGGCTGTCCCGTGCAGTCTCGACTACGGGTGTTTGCTGCACGTCTGCGAATGGACTGACAGGGCTGCGTGTGAACGTACCCCGAGAGCTGGGGACGGGGCTCCAGGATGCAGAGGTCGGACTCTTTGCATCTAAGCCAGGTTTCCTGACTGCCAGCTGGGGGCGTCGCCTACCAGGTCTGAGACTCGCCTTCCCAGGGCGAGCCGCAGACAGCTCAGCACGAAGCAAGAGCCCTTCATGCAGGAGCTCCTCCAGGCAAGGGCAGCCTCAAGACTGGGCCTGCCCCCTCAGCACCCTCCACAGACCCCGAATTTCTAGGCCAACCCCCGGCAGGCAGGTGGCCGCCGCTGCGGCACTGGTGCATCTTCTGACGGTAATTCTATACTAGACTGCGTCTGCTGCCTGTTAAGAACTCAATGTTCACAAATCAATCATGGGTTCCTCCAAATTGCCCAGCTCAGGATATTTTTAAACGCCCTGAGTCAGAGAGATGGAATGGCTGGCTGGCTCCTCGCCATCGCAGTGGGAACGGTACACTTTGAGGAGATCCTACGATGCGTATCTTGGTTCAAAAAAGAGAAGCATAAACCTCCACTCGAAAGAGCTGTTGGGGCCAGGAAAGAAACACAGGGTTGTGAGGAGCTCGGGAGACAGGACCACCACCCAGAGAGGCGGACACAGCGGGGGCCAGTCGGAGGCCCGTTCAGCCCTGGTCCCCCTCCTGCCACCTGTGCCCGTGGCCTCCGCACCCTGGGCCAGGGTCTCCCCGTCTGAGACACTGTGATTGGGCTCACATTCTAAGGTCCTTCTGGCCACCACATTCTCAGACTCTCCAGAGCACAGAAAATCGCACCTATGACGACACACTGGGCATTCAAAATGGAAAAATCACACACTAGGAAGATCTCGTTCGCCGTCGTTATGATAGGAAAATGGGGTCAAAATTATTTGTATTATAAATTCCCCTGAAACCAACTGAAAACTGTGTTCTAAGAAGGAATACAAACGACTCAGACAAGTCACGTAAGAAATTCTCTTACTAAATGCTTAGACAACGCTTCAGCCTACACCGGTAACCGCACGCGCAGAGAGGCAACGTAAAACAACTAGGTAGCGTCTTACATACTCCATGAGCAAAAACTTTAAAACGCAAACAAAATACTGATGAGGTTATGGTAAAGTTGAAACTCTCAAGCCGTCCTGAAAATAGGGATAAATAAGACTCTGGAAAGTGTGTTTGTTTGCTTATGTATTTATGCACGTACTCTCCGTGCCTAATGTGGGACTTGAACTCATGACCCCAGAGATCAAGCGTCGCAGGCTCTTCCAACTGAGCCAGCCAGGCGCCCCTAGAAACTATTTTTTGTGATTTTTATTATTTTATCCTCTGATCCAGGAATTCAAATTCTTGAAATTTATCCTAAGAAAATAATTGAAACCCTCAAAACCTGTTACATGGAGGAAAAAATGCTCCTTGCAACAGTACTTCTAATCCTGATAAACTGGGGGGAAAAACCTAAATACAGGAAAATGGCAAATACATTCTAACAATTTGATGCAACAGCCATGAGCGAATGACGCAGTTGTAAGCAATCAGAACGTCAGTGAATGATGTTCACTTTACAGCTAAGTAAACAAAATAATCTGCCGTCAATGAGTACTAACTGAATCCCATAGCACGCCGTCCTTTGGAGTGGGTGCTAGGAATCCTGGAGTGCACGAATTTTAATTTTTTTAAAATAACAATAAAGCATATGTGCAAAAAGGGCTGGAAAAGAAGACAGAAGTGTATTATAGTCCTGTACCTGAGGTCATTTTTTCTTTTGATTTTGTTCTTGATCATAATGACACAGTTTGCAATAAATAAAACACTGGGAGGGAAAAGGAAACAAATTTCTGTATCTGGAAACGGTCTCCAGCGGTCAGAAGGGCTGCACCGATCTACCAAGCAGAACACCCCAGCATCAGGACTGCAGGGTCAGAGCAAACCATCCCGGCTATTTCTGGTCCTGCCCGAGGCTGGCAAGCGGCTCTCCCAGCATCTCGCTCACTCGAAGTTCTGGGAGTGCATGTGAGTCATCCTTTCCCAGAAGCCTCCTGTGTGGGCTCAGGCAGGAGGGACAGAGCGACAGGGAGAGGCAGAAAGTGAGAGGCCTGACTGTTGGGTAGAGAGAAGTGGCGGGCGACCCGAGCCGCAGTGTGCCAGGACCCTGCGGGCTACAGTGTGCAGAGCAGACCTCCGTCTCCACACCCTGCTGCCCCCTTAGCCCAGAGATCTCCTCTCTGGCGCGGAGAGAAGGCAGGGGTGCCAAGTCTGCTCACGGAGCTGAGATACCAGGGGGAGCGGCCGTGTGTGGGTAGGGGCCTTGGAAGCATGCCCACCCTCTTCCTTCAGGAAGGAAACGTAATCATGGGCCTCAGTGCAGGTCAAGGCGACGGTCGCTCTGAACACACCAGACTGCACACCTCGCGTGACTCCGTGTTGGGCCAGCCAGAGAACACAGAGGAAATGGGCTCAGCGGGAACCAGCCGTGCCGTCCCCGGGCAGAGCTATACTCGGGAGGGCAAGCCGAAACGCACTACGCGAGACCCTCCAATTCCGCAACCCCGGCAACCAGTTTACATTTATTCAGAACGTGCAGCGGCCTGAAGAAAACACACCTGTGGATTGCGCCCAGACCCTCTGGCTTGTGCTCTGCAGAAGGAAGGTTCTGGAGGCAGGGCAGGGCCACAGGCTCCGAGACCCAGGCCATCAATTCACAGCCGGATGTTTGTAACTCCAGACCGTGTATATTAAAAATGATCTCCTGGAGCCTCGAAGCAGAACAGACCTTCCTGCAACTGTACTTCTGCCGTTCATTTTCTGGGCCTTACAGCACGAGTTTCTACCAACCAAACTAGGAGAAAATTCTAAGTCCACCTATAACCCAAAGGCCTTAACCACCCACGTGCTCATTCAACAAGTATTTCTTTATCTTCTCTTTAGGTAGGCTTTACACCCAATGTGGGGCTCAAACTCACGACCCTGAGATCAAGATTCGTGTGTTCTGCTGACTGAGCCAGCCAGGCGCCCTGGACAGTGTTTACTGAGCAGCTGCTCTGCGTCGGCTAGACAAGAACTTTCGGGGGGCACTGAGCACTACGGAGAGTCTCCAGGCAACGTCTCTGAGAGCCCCGAGAAGCACTTCTTCGGACTGGGAGCAGGGGAGACAGATGCGAGCTGAGAGGGAAGGAGGACCCGCCAAGAAGACTCAAGGGTCCTCTGACAGGAGAGGGGCCTGGGCGGAGGTGAGGGTCTGCACAGAGGCCCTCAGCAGCAATAACTTTGGGAAGTCCAGGAATCAGGAGGCTGATGAGCTGAGGGGCACCACTCACAGAGCAGAGGTCGGCCAGGCGTGTGGGGAGGGCTTGTCGGCCCCCCACCCCGGGGTCCGTCCGGGCTCACGGCAGCCGCGGGACCAGCTTAAATACCGGCAGCTGCGTGCACAGGACGAGTGGGGGGTGGGGGGAGGCTGGCCGAGGTAGAAACATCCTGGTGGGAAGTTCCCGACCTCTGCCCTCCCCTCCCCATCCCCTTGCCCCCAGTCCTTTCCCGCCACTGTGGCCCCAGCTGCAGAAGGACCTGGGAAGGAGGCTACCCTCTTGCAGCTGCCCAGCCACATCCCCACAGGCCCTGCTCAGACTCGGATCCCCCAGCACCCCGCGCCAGGATTTCTCCAGCCGGTAGACCTTGAGCAATCAGAGAAGGCTCCCTGCGTGTGAATCCGGAACTTTCTGTAACTCTGCCCCTTCCCATCCACCTCAGGAAACTCCCTCTCGTTTAGTGTCTCTGAGAGCGATCAGATGTGCTGTCTTCCCTCGCTCACCCGCGTCCCTGACACGCTGGCTCACACGTGTCCAGCCAGCCCGTCCTTCACCTCAAGATGCCAGTCAGTCAAAGCTCAGAGGCTCACTCCCAGGCCCAGGCACACAGCTAGGAAGCGACAACATGCACAATCCAACCACATGTCGACCGAGAAGCCCCTGCCCTTGACCACCATGTCGTCCCCCTAAAGCTACCTCT